ACGTCTGAAACGTCCGTGGTCCAGATTGTGCTATTCGCTTGGGTGAGCCTAACCGACGTCATACTATGACATGCCACAGATGGATGATCCTTGCATAAGTGTGGTAGCATGTTGGCCTGCAGATTGTGGGTGGTATGTAAATTGTATACTTTGTACTCCATACTCTCCAGGGTTGTCTGCGGCGGGAGGGTTGCCAGCTGCGATCCAGGACTTCAAGACTTCGAATGCACTGGTATTTTGACGCTGAATATCAAGATGGTCATTGCTTAAGTACTCAAGTACACAATGCGTTCTATTCTAAATCATCCAGAGATGGACAGTCTATCCATGGATGCTCCGGAGTCCATCTTATGCCAAGACCATGGAATATATAAGCGAAGGTGAAATGACCTTGATGCCATTTATAAGTACTTAGATTTATACCCAGCTCTAGAGGCAAATTGAAGCCACTAAGCTAAGTACTTAAGTCCAAGAATACCTATTGTCGATCTCGAGTAAAAAGGCTGAATATACGTCCAGGGGTGGCCCATCCTGAAGTCTCTCAAATGGTTGACCTCGGAGTGTATACTAAGTTTTGGACCTCACCCTATCTCCCCAGGTCGTCGACAAACATACTTAAGTACATCTCCGGTATCACATAGAGTCTACAGGTTGTATCCAAGGCATACGAATGTATCCATGAGATTCACGAAACCTTCTGTTATTATAATCCCAGAAATGGTGGGTGCCATCAGGTTCTAACTTTTGAAATTTATCTTGCGACATCCATAGATGCGAACCCAAAGATTATTCTCACACTATGGCATCTAATTAAGTACTTCGTACTTCTAATTACACGAACGACTACTCTACAAACTTGATAAGACCCCAAAATGCGATAGCTCTATTACAGAAATTATATATACGCCGTACGAACAACCGCAAGAAACTCAAGAAAAAAAAAAAAAGGAAAAATGCTATCTTATGCCACAACTACCAACAAAACTCGCTTCCGAAGAGCAAGAAAAGACAAGAAACAAAACGATTATAGACATGGACAATAGATCGAAGGGATAATCAAAGGGCAGAGCAGATGGTTGAGAGGAAGGGGGAACGGGGGTTGGAGATATATGCAACATGCTCTTTATCTGCAAATGCAGAAGACACTTTTTGCCCGACCGAGAATGTGAGGCCCCAAACACATAGGGAAACGAGCGTGTTCGAGGATGCAAGGGCTGGACCCCAGCAAGACCCAGCGAGACTGCTTGCAGTGACGGAAATTCTCGTGCGCGGGTTGAAACCATTGGGAATTGACGCAGCATGGAAAACTAGTCCCACGGTAGATCAATGGTGGAGAATCAACCAGCATCTGCCCGTTTGAAGAGGGTGGTATTAAACGGTGCACGCCGGATATAGTGACGAGACGAGGAAGCAAAATCAAATCGAAGAACAAGAAGATTCGCCGGTTCCGAGCCGTAGCACCATGAAAGAGTGATGAGACGTAACATCAATGAGAGAAGGGTTGTTCCTATCCCCAGTCAAGTTTCGAGGCTGAAGAGTCGAATGGGACAAACATAAAAGGAAAAGTAGGGCCGGGTGGTATAGGCCGAGAAGCGCGAATCTTGCTCGGCGAAGCGGCACTGACCACTTGGAGAACAAGAAACGAGCGAGGAAAGTAAACGAGACGAAAATGAAAGAAATCCCATGCCAACCTTCAAAGGCCAATTTTTGACATGAAGGATAGGACGCAGAGAGAAGAATGCGCGGCAGCAAGTTTACACATGCCTGCACTTCATTTGACTGAAGTTCAACCTGGATCCTAAGATGAGCTGGCCGCTCGAGAATGGTGTGCCAAATCACCTACCGCAGCACAGAGCCTTCATCACCTTCTGAACGAGGGTGGGCTGCGTTTCGTTGTTATCCTGAGCACCGAGAGGCTGCTGGTTATTCAGTGCCTGGGCTCCTGGGCTTCCAATGCGGTTGGGAAGGTGGGCATTCGAGTTTTGGAACTGCGCTTGAGTTGACGCGGCCGGAGTCGACCCTTCCAATCCCCCGCTCTGACGTTTGGGCGGTATTCCGCCGCCGCTTTGGCGCTCGCGCGTTCTCTGAGCTCCGGCCTTGGCTGGAGATGGAGGCGGGGGCTGCGCGGCGTTTAAACGGTCGGCTGTGACTCCAGGGCGTTGACTGTTGCGGAGCTCCCTCGCGTGCATGTCACGTCCAGATGAACTTTGATGCTGATCGCGGAGATGTGCCTGAGATGAGTAGGACTTGTAGTCCCAGCCGCGGCCATTGTTGAGCTTCATCCAGTCGTACTCCCCATCCTCAACCTCGCCAGCGTTCTTGAGAGCTTGGGTCAGGATGTCACGCAGATAATCGTAATCAGGCGTATCCTCGAAACCGAGATTGCGCACGTAGCTCAGGTATTTGTTGAATTCTTCTGGCGAAATGATTAGCAGGCCACTATGGGAGTTGTGAAACATGAGGAAACGTACCTGGATAACCCTCACACAGGTCCTTGATTGCTGTCGTCTGCTTCTTCTCGCCAATCTTCTCGTATTTCTGCTTGTTGGTAGCAGCCTTCAGGCCCTGCCAAGGGAGACCACCTCGCAGGAAGTACATGAATACATGACCGAGAGCTTCCAGGTCATCACGCCGAGATTGCTCTCTACCAAGATGTGTGTTGATACTCATGTAGCGAGCAGTGCCGGACAAAGATTTACGCTCACGGTAGGGGATGTGTTGTTTGGTCTTGGGATCGCGATATTGCTTGGCCATACCGAAATCGACCACATGGATAACGTTGGCAGCCTTGGTTGACGGCCGTCCGATCAGGAAGTTGTCTGGCTTGATATCCCGGTAAATGAGGTTCTTCTCATGAATCGTTTGAACGCGCGAAAGCTACAGCAGCAGCGAGATTAGCAAGTATTTGGGGAATCACAAGGGAAGTGGCGCACCATTTGCTTAGCCACCATTACAACAGTCTTGGTGGAGAACCGGCGGTTGCAGTGATCGAAGAGATCCTCGAGGGAAGGACCAAGAAGGTCAATCACCAGGATATTGTGAAGACCCTCCTGTCCGAAGTAGTAGACATTGGGAATGCCGGCTGACAATGTTAGTGGAGGATCGAACGGATCCCTGAATGATCAACTTACGACATCCGACTAGAATCTTGTACGTCCGGTACTCATCGCGGAGTTGGGGTGCATCGCTTTTCCGCGGTTCCTGTTTGGGAATCAGCCTGGACGTTTGGGTGGAACCAAGGGGAAGATCGACGTACGAATTTGATAGCGACCTGCTGGTTGTTCAGGAGGTTTGTGCCCTCAAAAATCACACCAAAGGATCCTTCGCCAATTTTCTTGCCCACGCGGTAGTGGACACCCACCACGTTGGAGGAAGAGGAGGCCATGGGGGCGGGATGAAGTGTTGGAGACCCGGGGAAGAGAAGCTAATCACGGGGCAACGGCTTCAGGGACGGAAACACGTGATTGATTTGCTCACTGGGCGCAGTCAGATTAAAGAACCGGAGGATGCAGATGCAAAGCGACTGGCAGAAGACGAATCACATACACCACAGGGACCTATGCTTTTTTTCACCGACCGATGTCGCCGTGAGGTGCTCGAGTCCGAATGACCCAATAACCGATTGTACCGATGGTCCGACGTGGGGGAAATATGACAGCGAAGAGGAGTCGAATTGGAGGAGTCAAAGTGGCTAGGCGAGACTGAGAGCTAGGGTAGCGGTACGGTTGAAATTGGCTGGGTCAGGGAGGAATTGAGGCCTTCGGGGGTCCTTGGACGGTCGGCGGTCACGAGAAGTTGAGGCTGAGAGGCCAGTTAAGAGGGCAAAAGCGATGGCAAAAAAGAGCACAACACGCAAAGCAAGCAGGGCACTCGACCTACTGCGAGTACGAGCCCTGAGCAGTGGTTCAAAGATAAGACCAAGGGGGGGATGAAGCAAAGAGGAAGAGAGAAGGCCAAATGAAATGAGGTATGTATGTATTGAAGACGTATTGGCTAGAGTTATTTTACGAAAGCGGTTACGATACATGTATTGTCAATTAGGGGCCGTTGGGGTGAAATCTTCGACAGTTTGGCCTTTTGCCTTAAAACGTCGCCTCAGCACCTTGGGCTCTTCACCCGTTCAATTCTCTCCCGTCAATTCCTATGTCCTCTGGGGCCTGGATTCTCCCATTGGCAAGGTCCTTTTGTGTATCGTAGCTCAGGCCTCGGCACTAGTAGAACCTGCAGCAAGAAGCCAGGCACCAAAACACGAACAGATCCGAGACATGTACAGATCAGCTTGTACTCCATGTGATTCTTATACTCCGTAGGATGGACTGAACAGTGCATGGAGCTCTCAATCTAGAAACCAGCCGTGCCAGGCCTCAGAGAATGAGCCGCTAGATTGATTCTTTTTTTTTTCCCTCAGGGGAGTTCTGGACTCTGCGCTGGAATGCGCTGAATTTGGTAAAATTACCGTCTTGGCAGGGACCCGTCGTCGATCCCTTACGCTACATATGATGCATGCTACGAAGGTGTATACGAGTAGCGCCCAGTCGCTCGATGTCCAATTTGTTGCCTCAAGATGCCTGACTCTATATCGCGGCAGACACCGCTTCATACCTGGTATTGTAATTCGCATTTGACGACAATGAGGCTTTCTAGCGTCTCAAGATTTCTGGAGCTCTCTTTTCAAACCTCTTTTGAAACCTGCTTTCTCGTCTTGAACACTCCAACTACTTATTGTTCAGTCAACTTGTACTCCGTATCCGAATTGATCTAACAAGAGCTTTCAAACTCTTGACAAAACCGCGGAACCTGACTTGAAAACGGAGTGTCTTCGATTACTATGGCTTGGGTAATGGTAATTCAGATAACTTAGTTTTCTGCCAGTCCGAAATCAGGCACCCACAGGCATACTCAGGCATATAATTCTAAAGTTCGGCATTGAACCCTTGGTATGCATGCACTCTTTGCTTCTTTTGTATTTCTCTATTGTCACAATACAAGTCAATTATACTTTATTCCGCTGCAGTTGCGGCTTCTCCAAGCTCTTCAGTCCCCTCCATATCTTCATCACTACCGTGTGCTTCTTCTTCTTCTTCGTCGTCATCATCATCATCTTCGTCACTGCTGGACCCGCTGCCTTCACTATCGTCACTGCCGGGGTCGTAGTCCTCTTCATCTTCCTCCTCTTGGTCTTCAAGTTCCCGCTGAGCTTTCTGAAGCTCACTCTCATCCCCATCTGCCGCCTCGGTGGCGGCTTGCTCATCTCCAGTGGGCTTGTTGACATTGTAGACCTTAGCGCGGCGCGCATCCGCAAGACTAGCGTCTTGGAGACCGTGACGTTTTATGTAGGTGTCGATTCCGGAGAAATCGGCTTGGTCGATCATCGAGAATTCAAACTCCTGGTTGTCTTCCTCGGAGCCACCAGTTGGGCGAGCCATGACGTTGAGGTTGAACGTCCGCTGCAAAACGGAAGTATATGAGACAGAATCAATGGTGTCAAATGAGAAGAACAGAAGGGGTTTCTTGAAAGCAAATAGGATACCAGTGGATAGAAGGAAAAGGTAGCCTGTGGTGAAGGTATTAGCATGACTGAACAAAAGACTGTATCTCCACTAGAAGATGGAAATGTAACAAACCTTCTTTACTGCCGCGGAATGCCTTGACATGGTATGCTTTCTCGCCCTTTCGGTGCGCCTCTGGCATGGCACTGACAAACTGCTTGTCGTCGGGCCGTACCACATTGCAACGGCGCATGTTCTCGTTCAGAATCTTGCAAAGCAGGACATCGGCTGTTTCGCCTGGCGCTTGATTGATCTGCTGCCCGTCTCCTGAGAATGCTGCCTTGGCTGGCCCATCGGCTATCGTAAACACCATGGCTTCGGATGTGGTTGTTCCCTCCGGCGGGGGTGTGATGCCATCCGCATATTCAGGGATGATACAGAAGTTGAATTGTTTTTGTGTCTTCTCTGGCACAGGGAGACAGAGCGCATGCTCTAGTTGTAGACAAAGATTAGTGGTTGTTTCAACGTTCAATGGCCATCTCGAAACTGACTGATTTTATCCATAGAGACGCCAAATTCGATCTCTTTTGTGGCCTGGTTCCTTGCCCGCAAATATTGGTGCCCGGCGGTGATCTCGAGAGTGAGCTTCTTCCTCTGCGGTGTTGCGAACGAAACGTCTTTCACATAGAATTGAACCGGCGCGTTGGCATCTTTCAGGTCAACTGACGCCTGCGCAGTCTCTCCTGACTCCCCATTCTGCAGCTTGCGCTTTTTAACCGCAGGGCCATCGGCCGGCGGACGTGAGGGAAGGGTCGTGTTGGCAGTCCTGGCCAGCAGGCTGGAGGTATATTTTGCAATATCTTCGAATAAGGGTGTGTGCTGTGGTGTTGTTCCTAGTTGAACAAATAGATTTGCGTCGGTCAGCAGGAGGTCGAGGAGGTTATCGAGGGACGGGGACGCGAGTGCGCTTAGCTACGCACCGATCGCATCGTACACCCTCTTTTTCAATGAGGGCTCTGTCGCGAAGGCTTCCTCAATGGCGGCGATGGGCGCACCAGAAGAATTTATGGAGGCGAACGCCATGGTTGATGCGACTGCGTTGTGTCAACACAGCAGTGCAGTGTTATGTAGGTTGGTCGGAGAATCGAACGACAATTATCCAAGATGCGCAGGGCGGGCCCGAACTATCCGCTTTGACAACCCTAACTTCCAGAGGTCATTTCTACCCAGAACGATAAACCGGGAAATTTTTCAAGCAGCTTTGTCGAAGAATAGTTATGTAAATAAATGCAAAGCTCCTTACTAGAATACAGTGGTGTGTACACAATGCTACAATGAAAACCAGATCCTAACAACCATCCCAGTTTCAAGATGTCTCCTTGTCGTTCTGAGACTCAGCCTTGGTCTCCTGAGGCCCAGGACTGGCCTTCCGAGCTTCGGCCTTCTTGGATTCCCGTTCAGCCCTTCTGGCCTTCGCCGCATCCTTCGCCGCAGCCTTTTCCGCATTCCTCTTCTTGGTGTGCCTTGCTTGTGCCAGTCGCGGACCTAAGATGGATTGCCTTTCGGCAAAATCAAGCTTTTTGAAGTGCTTGTTAATGAAGGTAATGGTAGCGTTGGGCAACTGCATGTTTCCATCGGCATCCAATCTCGCATTCCTCCTTTCGATGGCTTTGGCGGCCCGCAATTTGATGGCATCGGTAGTCGGCGTGGACAGGGACACAGTCTCTCTGTACTCCTTTTCGTAGTCCCCGGTCATCTTCTGTCTCAAGTATTCGGGATCGTGGCGGGTACGGAATCTAGAGTATTTGTTGCGCAGCTCGTCAATCACGGTCGAGGGCATCGGAGGCTCGGCCAGCGAGGCGACGAATGTGCTAGCTTCGACTTCCATTCGAGATGTATCCATGTCGCCGTCGGTGATAGTGGGATCCTCCTCCATCGGCCAGGGAATTTCGATGTCAAGGCCGGAGACGTAACGAGTGTACCTGGGAAGTTTGCTGTGGGGGGCTCTCTCATTGTAAGGACCAGCAGCATAGGCATGCTTGACAATGACTTGCTGCATCTTTCCAGTCTCGGTATCTTCCAGTGGAATGACGTGTCGGATGTCGCTGAAGGATACTGGGAATGACTGGGGTTGTGTGTCGATTTGGTGGGCCATTCTATCCTTGGCCCATTCAGGAATGATAACATCGCGCTAGCCGAGAAATATCAGTCAATGATTTGTTTTGGGGAGCTTCGAGGCGGAAAGGTGATCCGGAGACATACCATGTTGACGTCCTTGATGAGAACAGTCTCGCTATCGCGGTTGACCTGAGTGATCACGTTGATGCTTCCCTGATCCTGTCCGCGGATGACACAGACCCGGTCTCCTTCGGCAAAGAGGACATGTCTCCGTTGTTCGTGTTTAGGGAGACGCGGAGGGTGCAAGACGGAACCCTGCAGGCCACCATAGGTAGTGCGGTCGAGGCCTGAGTCTCGCATAGGAGCAAGAGGGCCCTTTTCCCAATCTTCCCAGCGGTTCTTCCGGGCCTCTTGGAACTGAGAGGACAATGCAGCGCCAAAGTCCTTCCGCGCACGCTTGATCTGAATGCGGTCCAGCAATTCCTGTCGTTCTTGGGCTTTGATAGATCGTCGTAGAGCCTGCTTCCGAGCGGAAGTCGTCCGTTGGATGACTCTCTGCATACTGGTGTTGGGTTCAGCAATGGCCGAACGTTGTCTCTGCCGCAAACACCCCGATCCGCGGATCGAAAATTGAGGGTGCAACGTGCACGTGACCACCGGACAGCTCACCAAATTGCTTATGTAACTTTTTTTGGGCTGGGCATTTATGAACCTTAAGAGTCGATACTGACAATTTCTTGATGGATTGGGGGAGGTTTTCTTTCTTTCTGTCTTTTTTTTTAAAAAAAAGAAAAAATCAATGTGAGTGGTCAAACAATGGCAATTGTCACGATTGGGTGGTAATTCCTGAGCTAGGCAGTGAAATCATTGCATAATTATCTGAGGAGGACCCCTAGGTACGAGGTACGGAGTATTTTCCGTGCAGTTGGCTGCGCTTCTAAAGTTCTGTACTTACTTCATAATGGGGTACTACGTACAGAGTAGAAATGAGTAATTTCAACTTAGAAAGGCCCAGAATTTACTCTAGATATCATGGTTTACCGTATCTCAAAGACCACATCGATAGATGTGCAGGGCCTCTAGGGCTTTCGGTCCCATTCACACATGAGTGGTGCTATTCGCCGAGCATACGGAGTTCATACAAGAATACTTAATGCCCTCCAGAAAATCCTGGTTTCCATTAACAACAGACTTACTTACCTAGGTATGGAGGACGTGAGAGATATATCGAGCGAGCCCCGTTGGCGCATTTTCCGTATTGCATGTCGTGGTGGTTGCTTGCCTCTTTGCGGTCTATAAGGTCAGGCGATGTTCTCCTGGAGTCAACGTAAGGCATCCTCAGCTGAAACCTTGCGAGATACGAGAATGAGTACCCCGGACACCATCCTTAAAAAAAACCGTTTAAATAACGTGTTTTAAATTCAACTTCAAAAGAGTCACCTCGACATATTGGACTCATACATAAAACCACCATGAAGCAATTCTCCACATGGAAGTCGCACATATACGCACTGGCAACCTCCACGAAGATGGAACTTTCGAAGAAATATGCTATGAAAATCATTGATATCAACCGATCACGTGCTTCTAAAATTATATACAATATTCGCCGGACTTTATAGCCCAATCTGTTGATAACAAATATTGTGCCTGCCTATGCACCTGAGTACTCGTACGGAGTAACCGGGCCGCGGAGCAGTTTCTAAAATTGCCCACAACTAATCAGTGCCGACTTGGCAGTGTTCATTTCTAAAGTGACGGAGATTCGGGTGGGAAGACTCAAAGACACAGGTGCCCAGGTGGGTACTCGGTAATTGAGAATACATACATAGCTGCATTACTACCACGGGAGAGCCAGATGGCTTGTCTGTGGCCGAATTATCGAGACGCTAGCATGCGCCAACTTCTCCTATTCTTATTCTTATCCGGGAAACGCTTCAACGGCTCCATACTGGGCCTTGGCTCCGCCTGCTATTTTTAGTCAGCCTCGCAGCGAGATTGCCTAGGTGAAATCTCAGCTATCAGCTCCACTTTGAACAACACCAAGAATGGTGTGAAGTCATCCTTCGTGTACCTCGTAGAGCGTCGGAGGCTAGCAAAGGGGGTAAGATTTCACTGATCTGACGTGATTGGTTTGGCCAAATTCCAGTACTGAGGATTACAGCGTATTTTTGTCGGCTGAGAACCCCCTGGATACTGAAAGTACAACATACAACTTCTATCAATAGTTATACTTGCAATTCCCAACCTAGTGCATGCCGAGAACCCCCCGGGGAACAGATCAGCGCTGAACCGAACAAAGTAGGGAATATCGGAACGATCATCACTAGCTACCTGGACCAAGCATTTTAGAAGGGTGTCAGTGCTGCAGACTGCCCACCGCATCCCGACGGCATGGTACTGTGTTTACCCCGTATGGAATCCGGAGTTAAGCTGGGGTCATGGCTTGATTAGAAAGGGACAAGGCGTTTCTTCCAGCACTTGACTCAATAAGGTCTGCTAATATGAATCGAGGGAGGCTGAGATCGAAATATGAGATAATTATACGAAGGACTTTGTACGGAGTACAGAGTATGCAATCTACCGCAGTGACCGTCGAATCTTCACCGGAACGGGCGTCTACTGCGTACAGAGTACTCGTCATGATAAAAGCCCTCTAGCTCAATGCAGCATGTAGATATATGTGGCCTACCCCGTAACTACGGAGCAGAGATATCGAAAGGCTAAAGTACATATGGAGTACGGAGTACAGTAATGGCATAGTTATCGTGATATCATACTGTACTCTCATAATCGTGTTCTCCGTAGATGATATCACAGCCACCGGGTGGCTGTGCAGCGACGAGAGAGAAGTGGGCCGCGTCCACGACCAGTTTTTTTTCAGCCACAGATCCCGTCGTACGGAGTACCCAGGGCTGTGTCCATCAATAACTGTCTCCGTGCTCCCAAGTGAGATGACATTGTAGAGCGAAAAAGGGTAGCCTGAAACTCAGGGGGTGTAGGAACGTACAACAGTAAAGTACCGGATACCTCGATACGGAGAGTCAAATACCCGTTGACCCCAGCGTACGTACCCCGATCTTGTATGTACCCAGTACTTCGTCCCTAGGCTCTCACCAGGGGGGAAAAACCACAATACCACAACAAATACCGTAAGATACTGCCACCGCTCTGCCATTCTGGCCTGGTCTGCTATCTTTCTCTCCTCCACCTCCAAATCATCATTCCATCGTCTTTTTTCCATCGTTTCTCATCGAAACGTCTTGATTTCACTACCTTATTTCCCTCACTACTAGCTCAAGCTAGTTTATCACATTAAAGGTACGCCGTTGCGGCCCTTCTCTCCCACTTGCCCCCCCCGGGAGCCAGACTTGTCCCTTTCTATTTGATCGGCTCGTGTCTCTCGTCACCCCCTCACGTTACTTCACATTCTTCGTTGTGAAGACCCTTCGCACTCGCACTACGATCTGCTCGCACGCTTCTTTGACCACGTACTGACCTCTTTATCAAGATGGCCGAGATCCGTCGCAAGCTCGTCATCGTCGGCGATGGTGCCTGCGGTAAGACCTGTCTGCTCATGTAAGTGACCAAAGCGCTGGCTCCCTGTTCAGGGCGCCTCCTCCAATCCTCTTTCTTCATGCTGGATGGTAATACTGACTGAGATCACAGTGTTTTCTCCAAGGGCACCTTCCCCGAGGTAAGCTCCTATTCGTCCTCGATCGCCCAATCCCCGATCCTATGATTCCTTTCCCCAATCAGGGTTTCGAACGAAACCGACAATCTGACTTTGTCTCTGCCAGGTCTACGTTCCTACCGTTTTCGAGAACTACGTCGCCGATGTCGAGGTTGATAACAAGCACGTCGAACTTGCTCTTTGGGATACTGCTGGTCAGGAAGATTACGACCGTCTCCGTCCTTTGTCATACCCCGATTCACATGTCATTCTGATCTGTTTCGCCGTGGACTCCCCCGATTCGCTCGACAACGTCCAGGAGAAGGTGGGTACCCTTGATTCATCGCGATTATAGCGAGCCGCTGTCGAAGAACGGAACACGCTGACCCATATGAACAGTGGATCTCCGAGGTCCTGCACTTCTGCCAGGGTCTCCCCATTATCCTGGTCGGCTGCAAGAAGGATTTGCGCGACGACCGCAAGACTATTGACGAGCTGGCCAAGACCTCCCAGCGCCCCGTCTCAATGGAGCAGGCAAGTTTCCCCCGCCCCCTTGGTACCTTGGACCCCCTACTAACCTTCTGCAGGGTGAGGAAATCCGCAAGAAGATCGGCGCCTACAAGTACCTCGAGTGCTCGGCCCGCACCAACGAGGGTGTCCGTGAAGTCTTCGAGGCCGCTACCCGGGCTGCCCTTCTCAAGGCCGTCAAGGGTAAGGGTGGTAAGAAGAAGGGCTGTTTGATTCTGTAAACTAAGCCAATTGTTGGGGGTGGCTCGGCTCGATCATGTCCAGCCTCCACGGAAAGCAATTGGTGATTTTATTCTCTAAGGAGGAGGGCCTCTTGGCCTGCATGCGAGATTGTGGATAATGTCGAATCCGGGCACCCGAGTAGTGGAGCTTTCCACAATTCAGTTGGTCGACCTTGTGTTTTTCTTTTGCCTTTATTTTGCAGAATTTGTCTAGGGAGGCGTTGTCTTCATAACCCTGTGGGCTTTTCTTTTTCTACTTCCGTGAATTTCAAATGGCCTCGAGGGGCAAGTATAAATTGAAACAGAAAAACAGGTGATTAAGGTCAACGTCGCCCCTGCGCGAATTTTCCCTTGTGTCATAGATCGTTCCTGCGGTTATCTCCCCATACGCGAAGAGCTCGTTTTTTTTTTCGGCTTTTATTGTTTTCTCTCTTTTACTACATCTGTTTCTGCTACAGCTAATGCATGAATTATCCACTTCGATCTGAAATTCTGTAGCCTATACATGTAGACATCAAAAATTACCTTTAGTTAGGCATCCATGCAGCTTTCCTGTACTCCCAATGTAGACATCCTATCAAAAGCGCAATGCCTGTAGAACCTTGGAACTAATGTCGGATGTGCTTGCAATCAAAGTAGATATGTAAAGAGGTAGACTGATTACCGATTCAAACTCAGTAGCCCCTCGATGTATCTCCTTGCATCCATCCCAAGCCCCTCAACTAACTTTGAAGGCGTTGTATCTGCACGGTATGCCAAGCCGGAAGAAGCACCCCCAAGGTCCCGGAAGAAGCGTGCACCACTACTGACACGCCCATGGCCAGTGGGAGAGACGTAATCACTCGCCTTGCGAACGATGAAAGCTTCTTGCGGGGCTTGCGGGGTTTGGGATGACGAGGAAGACTCGTGAGCTGCAGAGGATAGCGTGGTCGATGAGGGGGCTGTTGATAAAGCTGCTTGCGCAAGACGCACCCAGACAACCCACCACCCGCGAGTGGTTTTACTCGTACGTTCGAGTTCTTGAGGACGGGAGCGTGTGTCTGTGTATGTAGATAGAAGGCGGTGATGGATCGCTAGAGTCTCGACCCGAGTCCATGTTGGGACTGAAGAGGCAGCAGGATGGGACGGTGGCTGAGGTGAAATGTTGAGGCTCGGGATGTTGGGAATTGAGGAGCGGATGGTCAGATTCGATGGATCGTAGACTAAATCGTAGATTGGGTGGGATATGGCCGAAAACCGTTTGCTGGGGTCCGAGTTTCCTGACGTGAATGTTCGAGAGGCTGCCATGACTGGGGAGGTCGACGACAGTAGTGGTTTCTGGAGAGGGCCAAGTTGATGATGTATACTTGAGTAGAGTGACGGGGATGATAGAGAAGGCGTTTGTGGATCAAATAGGAAGGTGAACATAAATGGTTGGTGCTGACATTTCATGTTAGTTTTGCGTATAATAGAATGGGGATGGTAAAGAAGCACTTACCACGTAAATCACGGCCTGGAGTTTCCTCGGTGTCGCTTCTGGTCCACCAGGATACACATATAAAGTTCTGCACACTATGCGAGATTTGGGTTTACCGTTCTCCGAACCGGGCTCTGGGCTCCCTTCTTCAAGATCATCCAATATCTGCAAGTCATCACGAGGTCCTAGAATAAACCGACCAGAGGATTTGTTCCTCGCATCACTTTGATGGTTGCCGTCCGCCTGCGGAGGCTGTGCAGTGTTATCAGATTGATCTGCCGAAACTGGCGTTGACTGGGGTTTATCTTGACTGGTGTCAGGACTATCGGGAGGCGGCGAGGATACTCGTTTGGGAGAAAAACTCCAAGATGAGCCATATCCAAGAGTGAGGTACTTCATGACCGTTTCTGTAGGAAACCCGACGCTTTCGCCCCCTTGTTCATTTCGGAGCGGCGGGGCCTCATCTTGGGCCGCAGTTTGGTCCGCTGTAGGGACAGGTTGAACTGGCTCTGGTGTCGCCATTATAAGCGGACGGGGTATGCCAGGTGTGAAAATACGATCAGGCGCGGATTGGGAGGCATCCCCACAATCCTTCGCTGCGCGCGGTCTCCGTGGCTTGCGGCGACGTAAGGAACCTGGGTCTCTCCCAACCCCATAAGCGGCATCACCGAATTGATATATCCATTCCATCCAGTGCGACACATGCGCTAAAGAGTGTCGAGAAAGAGCGCCAATACCCGTGAAGACCACGCCATCAGATGGCCGAGGGTCATTGTCTGCTCCAAGCCATTGGGTTTCATCTGACTTTGTGGGACTGGGAAACTCCTCGATGGGCAGGGAAGAATCGCCAAATCTGGAGACAATCAAGTCCACCAAGCCTTCTGTCCTGGTCACAAAGTCTTCGAGTACCTCTCTTTCCCCGCTGCCCCACTCTTCTTCTCCGACGCCGATCCCCAATTCTCCCCCCGCAGAGAGTTTGATGCCATTGTAGATCTTAACAATCGGATTTCCGGTCATCAAAAGCTCCCAATTCCAAGTGAACTTATCCCAGAAGCGATCAAGATAGAGGCATAACCTAGATCTGCCGACTTCATTCAAGAGCTCGTCTAACGTGAAGTGATGATGTAAGAGGAATCCCGAATGCGCGCGACGCAATTGCTGGATAAGCAAAGGTGGCGGGGTCATTTCACGGGATGAATATTGGAACGCTGGGGCTTCCTCGGATGATGATTTCTGAGTCGAATCGACGGGAAGTCGTGTGAGATCGATCGACTGGCATGATGAGTCTGCAAATCCAGTTGATTTGGGGGTTGAGCACCTACCGCCACAATCCACCAGTTCTTCTCGAGTTCAAGCAGAACGACCCGTGATTTGTCTGTTTCAACATATTCCAGAGACTTTCCATCTGAGAAATTACTATATGTTAAGATTGATTAGGTCTGTTTGCTTGGGATATGGAGGTATGGCATACCTAGCAAAGTTTACCAGACCTTGCGCCAGGCCAATCTGGCGCAGTCTTTCATTTTGCAAGTCCTTAGACTCTTCGATATCCGCGGTATACCCAGTGCTTTCTTGTTCGTGTGTTGCTTGTGACGTGTAGTACACGACCTGATCCGCTATCGTCTCATCGGTAGGTCCGAGGGTTGGATTATAGATGGCAAGGTACGAGACCTGGGCTGGAATCACCTCATGGTCGCTTCCAGTCATGGCATTACTTGCTCCTGCCTGCAGCTCGTACTGAGTTAGTTAATCTAGTTGAAGGCAATCAAGGTTGAAAGAAAGCTGAAGGCGAAGTGAGATTTGAGAATGATATTTTCAAGGCGGCATGGTGTGCATTGGAGATATAGCGTTTGTGATAGTCTGCTCTGCTATCGCAGATACGAATGTTTTGCGATGAGGTAGTTGAATGTTTGTTTTGTTTGTATATTTGATCTAGTTTGCATAGTTTGCATCCTTTTATCTACACACGGTACTGAGTATGGAGTATACGACGACAAGAAAGTGATGGGTTTTGTTTCCCCCTTAAAAAGACAAATGAAGGGCCTCAAGGCCCATAGTACCAGGGTCTTTGATCTCGAAATCGTCTCTTCAAGGCAATATCCTTCAGTGCGAGGAAGCGCTATAGTCTGGATTAGCCCAAAAGATTGCAGGAATTGACCACTGAAGGAATGGATTTTACACACCGGTGTACCGAGCCCAGTAGCAGGATCCCAGCCCTTTTTTGCATCAAAACCAGAAGTATTGCATCCAAAATTTGACCCAAAAGTGACATCCTTAAAGCCCGCGGATGCTTGCGAGTAGATCCAAGGATTCAAAAACCCGAGAGCAGGCCGACCATCTGCCAGGAGGGCATCATTAAGCAAGGCAATCACGGCAGCGAGTGTCGGTGTTGATGCACTAGTCCCATCCTGTAAATGTGCCACGCCATCCCAGACAACTGGGTAATGATACCCTAAGGCTGATACGTCCGGAATCCCACGACCCTTTGGGTTATACAAGCCATCGTATCGCGTACCCAGGTCAGAGAGGTACCCCTCCACTGCCATAGATTGATAGCCAGGGCGTGCGAAAATCTCACTGAATCCTCCACCACTCGCAAAGTCACTCCGCCCATCAAATGCAACCATTTCCGGCCCAACCAGACGTGTAGCTCCAACACTTGTTACATATGGACAGCTTGCTGGAAATGTCGGAGCAAATCTCTTCTGCCCGCTCCCATCATTGCTTTGGCATTCGTCGCTCTTTCCAACCCCAAAGTCACCACTTGCCACGAGAACTGACACTCCACGGGCGCCTAACTTCGCAAATTCCGCACATACACGTCGCGCATACTCAGGTGGCACACTTTTTTCATCGTCCGCGTACGATATCGAGATCACTCGGGGTAACTCCTTCTGAGCCAGTAGATAGTCCAACCATACTAGATATGGCTCGTTCCGGTTCTCAACATGATATTTGGATGGTAAAAAAGGGGGCTTTGACCCAACGTTATAGACTATCAGTGGAGTTGGCCAGCTTAATCCAAGAATAGTTTGAGCATCTAAAGCGCCTTCCAGGCCTAGTCGAGATGCAAGTTGATCAGGGCGCAAACGTGTCTGCTGGTCCTCTCCAGCCGCCACGATTTGTGTCTTGAATGCATAGGCTGCTCCTGCAGCGGCGGCATCTGGTCGGGAGCGTTCTAAAAACAGTTGAATATCAGATCGATTGCTTGACTGGCCTAAGAAATTGACCATTGCAATGCTGTTATTGTCTGCAGCAAGCTGGTGATACCCGTGGGTCTCATATAGAACACCCAGACAAAGAGGTGTAACTGCCAGGCGATTGCATGCCTGCTCAACTGTGGGATTCGATGGCAGGTCTTGAGGTGTAGGCGCGGTGATATGATGCCTTTGTATGACATCTTCATCTACCAGCTCCGCATATGTTGGCAGTCTGTGTTCAATCTCCCATTGGGGCGGTGGGAATCCACCATAGCGTGATTGAGGTCGCGGCAGAAGAAAATTGTTGGTCGGTTGTATCAAATCGATGTGGTGATAAACATAGGATGGGAGGGACCATTGGAGCGTTCTCAACACGCTGTCCCCATTGCTGTTATGAAACACATAATATTGCGCATGAATAAGAGATTCCAGAGCGTGGATTGGTAAAGAAAGATACAACCAATCGCCAGATGCAGACTGAGAGATATTGAGTAACCCTAAGTTTGAGTCATCCAGCCACTTTACCACTGTGTGGACAGTCTCCTGTGGGGTTTGGACAACCTTCGCCACCTCAGTGACTGATAGGTGTTGCCCATACATCTCATGGCCTGGGTCAGAAACTACAATACCATTAGCTCGATCATGATCTTACCCATCTGAATGCTATGATCACCTTCTAACAGAAGCTGTGCTAGATCTTCAACCCCATCCTGTCTCAAGGCGATTTGTAATTGTACAATATGCTCCGATGGTGCCCTCTGACGTTGATTCCATCCAGCTGGAGTGGATACCGAGCTCTTTACCACGAACGATGTATCTTTAGTTGATACTAAGACAGACATTAAAAGAAGGACCAAGGAAGTAAAAGGTAAGAGGCGTTTTGTATGCATAATTTCGAGACAACAGATCACTTGCTGATGAAGAATGTGGTTGAAAACCAACGGTATCCTTTGATCATTTCGAGAACCTACCTTGTTATTTTGGACCCAGCCAAGACCCCAAGGAACATATCGGAGGGAAGTCTTGGCTAGGCTACCGTACTGCTAGGTGCATGATAAGCTAGGCGCATCATGCAGCCCCGAAGTATGCACTGTCGGGGGTACTAAATCTATTGCTACCAATGTAACGTCAAAGCTTACCGTTGACCATACAGGATAAGCAAATGACTTGGCATGCAAGTAAACCTCTTGGGTATTGTGAGAGTCGGTTGCATCGTCGTACATGATAGATTGGCAGCGATGTAGAAACAAACCCTGGGCCTGACCTAGGTCTTATCTAAGCTGCTTTTACCTTCGTTTTCCCACACTAATTGTTTTTGGGGTGTTCATCACGATGAATAAAGCCTCTGGATTACTGATTCGGCTTGTCCTTCTTTGCTGTATACTTCCTGTTTACGCAGAGCCAGTCCAATATTGCAGATTTGGATATGGCACTCCCAAAGATCATGCTGAAGTCGATTTCTGCCTGGGTATTACCATGCACCACAACATTTCATCGAATGCGCATGACATGTACCTTAGCATGACTGTGACAAGAGCTGATGGCTCCGATAAAGGATGGACTGCAGTTGGAACAGGGCCTTCAATGACGGGCTCACTGATGGTGATAGTGTATGGTGAGCCCTTGTCTGGCGAATCTCCAATTGTCAGCATCAGAACCACAAACGGACACCACCAACCCAAGCTCATCACCAAGGAGGATGCCGGAGGTGCTGATATCCGACTTCTCCAAACGCGGTGGGAACCTGTGCAGGACCCTTTATCAAAGTCATCGGCATATATTGCAAAAGTCGTGCTAGTCTGTTACTCCTGCCATCTGTGGCCAGGCAGTCCAATTGAAGCAACGGCCACATCACATCCGTGGATTTGGGCATGGAACGAAGACCAGCAATTCTCGGTCTTTGCGTATGATGCCCATTTGAGAATGCATAAGCATCACGCCGGAAATGGTGGCTGGGGCCGATTTTATGCCGACATGTCGCGCTCCATCAACAATGCTCGAAAGCTTCCATCGGTGCCATCCATACAGCCTCGAGTACGCACCCTGGGTACTTCCGATACTCCCATGAGTCTTCATGGGGCCTGGGATGCTGTCCGATCTAGGCCTATGGTGCATTCACACGGTATTCTGATGGGGTTGGCATTCTTGCTTCTTTTCCCTGGGGGCGTATTCATGATCCGCGTTCCATCAAGTCAGTCATTTCGATGGCACAGCATTGTTCAGCTTGCCGCTTCTGCTTGTGCTGTTGCTGGCGGCACCATTGGTCTCATTATGACGCGTGGCAAATTCGCATCCTTGCATCAAATCGTGGGGTTGCTGCTTCTGGTGGCTGTAGGGGTTCAAGGTGTCCTGGGGTGGGTGCATCATTTGGTCTTCCTCCGCCTCAAACGGCGCACCTGGATTTCACACACCCATATCTGGACTGGAAGAATCATTCTACTCCTAGGGTGGACAAACATGGTTAGTGGAATGGCTCAGCAGGGATTCGGAATGTTTTGGATGGTGTTAGTGTCTGGAATTGTACTGGGAGAACTCACAGGGCTGTCACTTTGGGTTTGGGTGTGCAATAAGCGCAAGAGTAGCGTGTCACCACCCCCGGCCGAGGTCGGGTACACCACTTTCGCACTCGGGGAAGACGAGGATGACGCTTCTTCGGATGCGAAAAGTGACAAGGATGAAGAGAATGACCCTCTTGTGACCCCGTGATTAGCATTTTCTCCGTCTTTATTTCCACTATTACCACGGAGCCCATGGTTCGCTTTGTATCAACTGGACCGTTTGCATCCAGTGCCTTTTGTTGATTCAATCGCACTTCAATCTCAAATCTTTAATCAATTACGACAAAAAGTTCAATTACTCTCCATTTCTGTGTAGTTGAGGATGCTGATAACTTTTTTTTAGAGGTACGAATCACTCCGTATTTCATACGTGATCGGACCAACTATTGGTCGCGTGAGTGAGGCTGACTTAGGCAGGGTGGTATCTTCATAAAAAGCCTGCAGATGAAAACAATATTCATTTGCCCCCCGAGTGCATTAGTCTTTACTCGAGTTTCACCGGGAAGGATTCCACGAGAGTGGATACTTTGATATCGCGATCATTGCCATTTTTGACGACCTGCACTAATAAATGGGAGGCGGGAGATCCGACGGCTAAGAGATTATGGGGAATCAGATTGGGATGATAAGATGGGCGCCAGTCAGACACGTTTGATGCACCTAGGCAATTCAATCCAGGCCGAGTCAGCACTAGATGCTCACCAACATCTTTCTATTTGTCGGAATTGTTGGACGAGCCTTGAAGCATAACGGACAGACCGTATTTAGTAGCCGCACGCAAGATGACCTGGAAAGCCTTGTTACCCCTCTTCACTGGTACTATGTGCCATCACCTAATTGCAAGGATTCGAGGGGCTGGCCATGAGAGGCAAGCCCGCCGTGCCCTTGTCGCCACAAGGCTTGAACCCTTTTTTTAAGCAACTGAAATACAAAAGCTTTTCTCCACTTGTCAAGTAGACTACTGAATCGAGCTGCTTTTTAGAGAGAACATGAGCAACCAACTGCAGGACGGTGATCGTGATACGCAGGTGTTGTCTCATGCTCCAATAAATCTTGCCTTTCCATCCCATATCGTGGTGGAATACAATGAATTGGACCAAAAGCGCGAGAAGAATCGCATTGCAAAACGACGAAATCGCCAAGGTAATCATACTTTCGTCCACTTCCAAGCTATCCCCACTCACGATTGCAGCCAAAAAAGAAAGGCGGAATAGCCAGGGCCCGGATTACAGCTATCCTTCTCACAAAGATGAACAAATTGTGGAGAAAGATCTTTCATCGGCGACGAATGCGACAATGGCAAGACTTCTAGCGGAGGGCATTGACCAGGCCGAAGCGATCAATAAAGATCACAACTTGAACGAAAGAAACACACCGATGTTTGACTTTGAAACTCTTCCATGTTCGTTTACAGATCTACCTGAATTTACAGGATCAGACACAATTCTGAATGACATCTCTATGAGTATCATGGAAGATCCAGATAACTATTCACGGCCTTCTCAGTGCTCAACAACAAAAGCAGGCCAAACTAGTGAGGGCATTGGTGAGTTTGAATATCACCGAGGTCGAAAATATAGCAGAACTAATCTGAGGTCATTGTCAGAAGGTCTCCCCACACCGATGAGTCCTGCCAAAGTCACAATGAACATTAGCGGGGTGGAATCCACAAGCGCGCAACAGAACGTTCAAACGCTGTCATGGTTGAGACTCCCAGTAGCCACTCAACTGGGCTCTGGCTCACAGATCCCCGGTTCGGATTGCACTTTCAAAACAGGAACACCCGACAAGGAGATTATAACATCCACGACTGTCAACGAGAATCGCCTAGCAAAGATTGTTGCGTTAGTTGAGGAGTCGGGGTTCAACTCCATCGACGAACTCGTCACAGAGTACTATACGCTCCAGGTAAACCATGACGCTGAACTCGCGTCAACCCAATCACATTCACGCAGTCGGAACCTGAGGAATCTTCTTGAAGCTCTTCATGAAAGCTCTAAACAATGGAGTCCCCGAGAGTCATCACCCTACCGAGAAGGAATTCTACGTACCGCAGAAGCGCTTTTGCGAGAGGAAGTCAAGAAAAGTCTAGATGGCCTCGATAGGTGCAATGATGACGACCTTCTCTCTCTGGGATCTTCCAATCCTGCTAGAAGTGCGAGAGACTCCATACTATCTCATCTTAATATTCCCGCTCACAATGATGCTCTCACGTCATTTATGAGACACGATATGACGAGGCTAAGAAATAACGTGAGGACCCTGCCATTATTCATAATTAGTATGACAGCTAATGAATTATATGCCTTCTAGAGCCCCGAGTTGTTTTCACTGCTATCCGAACTTGTCCGAAATAGCCCTTCTCGCAGAAATGATCGATCTCTTGCTGTTTGTATGTTTCTTTACCAATTGGGTCTTTGATATCATAGTCCATGATAAAAACATCCCATGAGCTCTTTGTGCCATTTATTGCTGCTTTTTTTACATCACGTACAAGAAAATACTAGGAAACTCAATATTGTTTCTCAGGTATTAACAGCCCGTTGCGTAAATTCTTTTCAATAAAACCATGAAGGCATGTTAAAAGGACGGAGATGGGTTCAAGCTCGACTACACACGCGCGCTCGCAGCGACTAGTCTAGAACAGCATTGCATAGAAGTATAAGACAGAAAACTTAAGATATAGACCAACACCAAGACCGAGTACATTGGGGGATTTATTGCCTATTTGACCAAGCTAAGTAGTATCGCGAACCGATCATACCACCCAATGTTTCCACGAAGGAATATATTCATCTCGTCAATCTCAACTTGAGCAGGTATCAAGCATACTGCTTAATCTGTGTTCTGACCAAACTCAACAATGGCAATATTTGAAATCATTCGAAATATGCATTGTCCAATTTCAAGTCACACTTCAGTGTACTTGTAGACCCTTAGTCGACCACATAATTGGAAGCAGCGTCAGCATCCGAACGTTTATCGACAACGTATTTGGTAGCGGCATCGGCGTCACCACGCTTGTCGACGACGTATTTGGTAGCAGCATCAGCGTCGCCACGCTTGTCAACGACGTACTTGGTCGCAGCATCAGCGTCACCCCGCTTGTCGACCACATACTTGGTTACTTGGTCGCAGCATCAGCGTCACCCCGCTTGTCGACCACATACTTGGTAGCGGCATCAGCGTCGCCACGCTTGTCAACGACGTACTTGGTAGCGGCATCAGCGTCGCCACGCTTGTCAACGACGTACTTGGTAGCGGCATCAGCGTCGCTACGCTTGTCAACGACGTATTTAGTGGCTGCGTCGGCGTCGCTCCGCTTGTCGACTACATATTTGGTAGCGGCATCGGCATCACCACGGCGAGCGATCCCCACTATCAGAGTCAATAAGTACAATATCTTCAAACTCTGGGTTGCAGGATCCAGGTATGATTTCGATACTTACCCGGCTCAATTATGGGTGCCGCGGCAGTCAGGCTAACAAGGAGAGGGAGGCAGGCAAGCAGTGTCTCGAACTTCATCTTGCTGTCGATTCAAAAGAATTTTCAGTTTGATCTTTGATTATTGAAGGGTTCTTCCAAGTTTGTGCTGAACTTTGAAGATACTGCTGTAGATCTATATTCTCCGAGAGAGGCTGTTGTGTCTGCTATTTATCTTCACTCGCGATGATCCCCATCCGCTCTAGAGCTTCTAAGGTGTAGATGGGTGTGTTTCTGTCCGTGAGAAGGACAGTGCAGCGTTATCCTATTCCATCGATTCAACCTCTGCCTTTCGAATTTGCGATCTTTCTGTTTGGGTTTGCTCCTCGTACGTCGCATTGAGACTGGACAACCCGACGCGGCTCAGTGCTGGGAGAAGTCGGCCTTGGACGCTTCCACCGTGGATTGCGCATAGGGTTACATTGCGCCAACTCTCGAATGCAATGTCCCATTGTTTGCTGACTTGAGGATGGACTGCATGGTCCAGTGATGTTCTCAGAAAAGTGGCAGGGGGTTTGAGATAGCGCTAGTGTGTTTTAAGCCTGTTTATCTATAGTACGGAGACTCCGTCGTACCTCCGGAGTAGACAAGCATCCCCTGTAGCCCAACACCCCCGCTTGACCTCGCATATTGCCGGACCAGGGCCCAATATTAGGCCCAATCTTAAGCCCGCAATCCGCTACACAGCACACGACCCAATGTTGAAATTCGACGTGTGGATCGCGAATCAAGGCGTGTACAAGGATCAAGGGGACAGTGGGTTTCGGCCCCCACAGTCCGGGGCTACTCGCCACCCATTGGAACCCTGGAATCAGATTAGATGGCGGCCCTATTCGGTCTGGGCCGAGATCACGGCAGGTTGCATTGATGTGCAATAGTTCCACGCACTCCCCTAATTCAGTATTGTGGCTCCGAGGTGCAGGATTTGTCTGAAAAGTGCACTTGCATTCAAGAGTGAGCGTGCATACATAAGCTAGTCCAGGCGCCCAGCTGCCGTTTGTGCAGATCACTCATGTCCAAGGGCAATGGGATACTTCATAGTCAAGGTTCAAAAAGAAAGATAAGGAGCAAAACAGAGGACATATGATCCCGGAGATCACGGCAGTTGCAAATAACCACGGGTGCCTGTAGATAGATTGCGTCAAGGTTACTCCGACCATAGAACCCAGCAGCAGACAAAGAATAAACCCTGTACTTTTGGACTGGAATTCATTTCCCAAGGACCAATTGTAGTCTTCTGTTCTCGATCGACTTTGCCCAGCACAGCAATCAACCCCGAGAATCTAGTACTTTAAGACATGCTGCCTTGCCCCTTGGTCGTTAGATGTGAGAACAAGATTGATTTTGTTCTTCTCATTAATTTTGAACGAGTCTTGAATCAATTCAAGAAACATGGAAAAGCCGAAGGACCACGAAACGAGCGACATGCCAACCGAAATTAGAGAGCCGACCGTGCGAGCAGACACAACGCTCAGTGATAAACCACCCATCCAGACCGACTCCGATGAGTCAAATGATGAGCTGCTGGTGACTTGGGATGGTGACGATGACCCCAATTGTCCTTTCAATTGGTCTCTGGCCAGACGATGGGCCATCACCCTATTGTGTTCTATGGGAGGAATGGTAACTCTGATGAGTGCATCCATGCTTGCGCCCGCCTTGGGCGACATTGGCAATGACCTCAACATCACTGAGAGTGAAGCGAACATGGTTGTCTCGATATTTGTGCTCGCCTTTGCTTTCGGACCCATGGCTCTAGCTCCTCTGGCTGAAGTGTTCGGTCGCCGATGGGTGTGGATTCTGGCTTCGACATGGTATGTCCTGTGGAATACAGTCTGCGGATTCTCTCACACCAGAGGTCTCATGCTGGCTGGGCGAATATTGAGCGGACTGGGAGCCAGTGCAGAGTATGCCATCTCGACTCCCGTTCTGGCAGACTGCTGGCGGGCAGAGGACAGAGGCCATTCTTTTGCGATCGCAACTTTCGTGCCCTTGTTGGGCCCGGCAATTGGACCTATCCTCGGCGGAGTCATCACGGAGAAGATTGGATGGCGGTGGTTATTTTGGGTTTTGTCTATCTTTGATGGCGCTTTGGTGATATACGCCTTACTTTTCTTTCCCGAAACGTATCACAGACTGCTACTCCACCGAAAGGCCGTCAAGTTGGAGAAGGAGACTGGCAGGCCTTTCCACACTAAGACCGATGCTCACAACCAACCGCTGGTAAGGAAGGTCTGCTACAGTCTTGCCCGCCCATGCTGGATGCTCGCGACCCAGCCAACCATTCAAATCATGGCAATCTTCCTGGCATACAACTACGGTGTTCTATTCTTTGTCCTCACCAGCTTTGCTTCCCTCTGGACTGAAAAATACCATCAAACGGTGCTGATCAGTGGTGTTCATTATGTTGCCCTCGTGATCGGCTATACTGCTGCTGCTCAAGGTGGTGCTCGCATCACTGACTGGCTCTGGAAGTATCTGACCCGCAAGCGAGGTGAAACCGCTCCGGAATATCGAATCCCCCTCATGATCCCCGGAATGGTTTTCTTGCTTGCCGGATTGTTCTGGTATGGCTGGGCCGCAGAGGCGATAGCCCCGTGGATCGTCGTCGATATCGGGGTAGCCGTTTTTGGCTGTGGAGTAATCCTAAGTACCCAAGCCATGCAGCAGTATGTCATGGAGTCCTACAAGGAATATGTGGCGTCTGCCAATGCCTCCAGTCAGTTCCTGCGGAGTATTTTCGGGTTTTGCTTCCCCATATTTGCACCAGCGTTGTACAATCGTCTTGGGTATGGATGGGGAAACAGTACGTTGGCGTTCATCATGATAGGCTTCGGTGTGCCTGCACCGTTTGTAATCTGGACCTACGGAGCGAGGCTTCGTGACAAGGGTAAACAGAGAGCAAAAGGAAAGGTCTTTTTAGCCTAGGTTGGAACATTTATGATCAGCAATAAGGCCGAGAATCTCACTTTCTGCTTCCTACAGCCTCAAATTTCCGGATGTATTCCCAAATTGTCCTTTCGAGGGTGTCCAGAGGAAAAAGAAGATAGAAAATAGAAAATTGGGTTTAAGAAAGGATAATGGAAAGCGGATTCTCCATTTAGTGATATGATGAAGGAGAAGAAGAAGAAAAGAAAGAAAATATACTAGCAGGAAGAAATGAAAGGCCATCAGCTGACCTCCCTTCAGTCTCAGTGTACGCCCAAGAATCACCACCATTCCTTCCACCGCATGTACCAGGGTAACTGAACTCGGAATCTTCTTCTCAGCGCCAGCTCTTTGAGTCGCGGGAAGCTTGGAGTGCCCCATCCACTTGCGACATCCCAACCTTCGATTGCCGGAAACCCGGTCGTATTGCATCCCTCGTTTGACCCCTCGGTCACGTCAAAGAATGCCCTCCAGCCCTCCTCATACAGCCAAGGATTCAGGAAACCCATTGCGGGCTGTCCTTCAGCAGCTAGTGCATCATTTAGTAGCGCAATAATGGACGCAAATGTCGGCGCTGATGCTGATGTTCCATCAACCAGTCTAGTCGTTCCGTTCCAGACCGTCACGTATCGATAACCCTGGGCAGCGACATCAGGAAACGCACGTCCAGAAGGATCGAATCGCCCCTCATGAAGACTTCCAATCTCAGCCAGGTAACGATCAATGCTGTTTTTACCTTCCTGGTAGAATGGTCTGGGAAAGTACCTACTGAACCCTCCACCTGACACAAAGCCGTTATCAGGATTAGTGGCAACCACCTCTGGGCTGATTCCCTTGGTGGCTCCAACGGAAGTGACCCAGGGACATGAGTCGGGGAAATTCGCCAGAAAGTCTTTTTCGCAGTGTGCTGGATGTCCTACTCCGTGATCACCCGAGCCTGTGATGACCGATACTCCCCGAAGACCAAGCTGGGCAAACGCAAGACAGACTCTGCGAGCATATGATACCGGTACTGTTTCTTCAACTTCCCCATATGAGGAGGAGATGACACTCGGAAGCTCAGAGTCTGGCTGCGCCAGCAACCAATTGAGCCAAGTGAGATATGGCTCATTCGTATTTTCTGGAAAGGACGAGCTCGATACAGAAGGAGGCGGCGGTCCACCCACAGTGTATGCGGTTAAGGGAATCGGGTGCGCGATTCCAATTAAGATTTCCGCATCGAGGTTTCCTTCAAGGCCAAGTCTTTCGGAAAGTTGATCGGGATTCGCAGGGGATTGCTGGTTGATGCCGCCTGCAATGCTCAGGTCTCTAAATCCTTCCGCAGCAGCGATTGCATCAGGCCGATATGATTTTGCAAATTGCGCCAGATCGGTGCGATTGTTGAATTCTTCCAAGAAGTTGACAAGAGCCATGTGTTTCGGTTCCTTCGTCTGAACAGAATATCCCAGTGTTCCGTAGAGAACACGAAGACACAAGGGAGTAACGGCAGTCACATTACAGGCCTCTCGGGGTGTCAAATCCTTCGGTAAGTGACTCATATCGATGCCCATACTTCCAACATTAGGGCCAACTGCTTCTATGGCATGAAGATTAAGGTTGGAGTCATCGGTCGAGTTGATCTGTTGCCGATCTCTGGCCTTCAGGTGCCAAAATGAGGTAGTTGGTTGTATGGTATCAATTACCCCTTGCAAGTTGCTGGGGACCGACCATTGAAGAGCTCGGGTTGCGAGAGAATTTCCGTTTTTGTAGACGGAATATTCAGTTCCTAAAAGACTTTCCGCCTGCTGGATGGATGTGTTGAATGTGACCCAGTCCCGGGCAGGGCTGAACTGGAGGTTGTCTTGTTGAATCCCATGAACTGAGAGCCAAGTCACAACTTGCTCAACTGCCCCCAGTGGCGGCTTTGACAAGGAATGTAGGTCATCGATGCTGAAATATTGTCTATATCTTGGGTTTGACGGATTTGAAATCTCCAAGAGCTGGCGTTCTAATTCACTGGCTCGTCCGTGCTTGAGGCCGATATTCAGAGTGATTTGCTCTGTTCGGGTCGCACGACGAATACGACGCCATGTCGGAGGGGCAGTATGTACCTCTTGGACAGCATAAGGCTCGTGAACTTGCTTATCGGAGGTAGGGAAGGCTAGGCATATTCCCCAAATGAGGATGGCGATATATCTTTGCCCAACCATTGTACCGGGCTGGTTTGTTCTAAAGTTGTCGCCGTAGATCGGAATTACCAGGCAAAAGGCGAACTTTAGAACCACACAACTTTAGAATCTTTGATCCTGACATATTACAGAAAAAGCCTATGGTCTATAGCGCTACTTACCATCAATTAATCCATAATGTCATGCTCAAGTGGATCTATAGATGGTAACTTTAGAACTCAGAAGGGAGGATCTGACTGTCTACAGGTACAGACGCTGCAGCACTAGTGTGGCACCGCGCATAATCAACAAGGACACTGCATATACTCCGTGATTATCAGAGCACGTTAGAAATAATAGTCTTTCATAGTTGCTTCCTTCAATTTTCGATGTAATACTCGTTTCTGTTCAGAACAGTGGAAGTAATATTGGAAATGGTCAATTTCAAAACGACCACCAGCTGGTTTTTCCACAACGCGGCGAGAATGCACGATATTTCGAATAGCCTCCAAGGAAGCAGGTATGAGAAGGTAACTCCTAACTCTCGCTTCAGAGACTCATCGGATGATAATGAGAGTGCGACCGACGGGCTTCTTGGTGATGGTGAGGGTCGTGCATTACCCAAGCCAAAGTCCTTCCTTGGTAGATGGTGGGTGTTGATTTTGGCCCATATTGTGCTTCTCTTCGTTTATTTGGGTATACTTGGAGTTGTCTACCGATCTGCAAAGATCGCCGGTGGTATTGGTGGTCCGAACCTGGTGTTCTGTCAGTACAAAATTAGTATAATGTTGGGCCAATTGGCTAACGAAGTGCTCAGCGCCTGCACATGAGGCAGTGAGATACGAAGAAGTGAGGTTTGCAGAGAACTCCCAGTCGCATGGCCCATTTTCAGGATATCCGCGAGACGAAATCGACAAGAATTGGCACGATCTACTCAATGGTTTGTTTTGTCGATTTCGGGAAGATCGAATCCGCTAACACTGAAGCAGCTGAAAATATTGTCATCGAGCCGGAAGTGATGAAACACTACGGTCGTGAAGATCTTGGGGTTGCGCTACCAGAAGGTGGAGGGTATATTGGCACTTTGAACGTGTACCATGAGCTTCATTGCATTGTGAGCTGAAAACACGCATATCAGTCCCCCTTGCTATTTGCTAACGGATGCTAGAAACGGCTCTATCAATACAACTATCCAGACTATTATTTCCCGAACCTGACCGATGCAGACAAAGAAGTGAATCGACTTCACAATGGTAAGAAGCTCTATTGATTCAACCAATTCGGACCGTTGCTTACCCAGCCAAAATAGAGCACTGTCTCGACTTCCTTCGCCAGGCCGCGATGTGCCACGGTGATGTTGGTTTAATCACTTTCCAGTGGTCCCCAGATAGTCGTATCCCTGTGGCAAATGCGACCACACATGAATGTGTTAATTGGAAAATGATCGACGACTGGACCAAAGCGCGAACGGTAGACATGATGAAACCTGGATGGTTGGTGCATCCTACTTATGGTGAGCTACCCCATCTTCTTTTACTTCAAATTGGCAGGTTTTGACCCTTTTTTTTTCTTTCGTATCAGGATCTGCATATGAAAATGGTGAGGGTTCAAAACTTGGTGCATTCAAGTTGAAACATGATGGAACACCTCATCTAGCGGGACATGACCATGACGGGCATTGAAAGCTACACATTAGATTCTTAAGGGCCACTCTAGTTGGAAACCAATACATAAGGTAGAGAATGAAAGTCACCAAGCGAACAAGTTCGAGATGTGAGCAGGCATTTGCAGATCAGCAATTTACTGTCTGGCCCAGACTCCGCATACACAGAAAGACTACTATTTTAGACTAGCTTCATGTACGGTCAACGAGACACTGATTAAGTTTCATATATCTATAAGAGGTCCTCCTCGTATTGGGGCGTAGTTGTTCATTTCTCTGGAATCTGTGCCATCAGGTCTGAGAGAACAGTACCATTATGTCTTCTGAACGAAGACTCGACGAAGTGATGCGAGATGAAAGTCTGATCGCTAATCAGGATGACCCCCAAAGCGATCCATTCGAACCATTTCGGGATATCCCGCCCTCGGATGGAAATATCCTGACTATTCGCGCTCTAGTTGTAGGGTGTTTGTGCGGAGCACTCATCAACTGCTCGAATCTTTACCTCGGATTGAAAGCAGGTTGGACGGCTTCTGCCAATATTGTTGGAGTGAGCAAAGATACCATGCTCTCCTCCCCATTAGGCTAATTTTGACTATCTAGTCTATCGTTGGTTTTGCGGCGTTGAAGAATCGTCGACATTTCGGCCCCCAGGAAAACAATATTGTGCAAACCGCTGCTACTGCTGCAGGCGGGTTGTCTAATGTGTTTATTTCGGCCATTCCTGCGTTGTATCAGCTAGGGCTACTGCGGTCTCCGAGTGCAGACTTTGGAAGTTTGGTTGCTGTTGCCACGGTCGGAGGGTACTTTGGGCTTCTCTCGGCGGCTCCATGTATGTCTGTTCCTCACTGCTATGAGCTTCACTGATCGTTCTTGTATAACAGTGCGCAATTTATTCATATCTCAGGTCGCAAGGGAAATGCACCTCATTTTCCCGTCATCTTCTGCAACAGCCATCACCATCCGCGGCATGCATATGGCAGCTAGTGGGGATGCCGGGGGGAGAACGAGAATGCGTGCTCTTCTGTATAGTTTCTCCTTTGCTTTAATTCTGCGAGTGATCTCACAATATGCCATTGGAATTTTTTGGGTAGGTTCAACCAGTGCCTGTTACCGTCACACTATGCCGCCATCTCAAATGCTGACATCTATCAAGGATTGGCACTTTTTCAGTTGGGTTGCTTCTAGTGGCATTTTTGTAAACGCGGCGATGGGTTTGGAGAGCTGGGGCTGGTACATCGAGTGGACGCCTGCGTTCGTTGGATCTGGTATGTTGGTCGGGCCAAATGTTGCAGCTTCCTTCCTCCTCGGCTCGATCATTGCCTGGTAGGTTACAGCCGGCTCCAACCGCATGAATCCATTCCTTTGAAAGTATCGCTGACGTGACATTGTATAGGGGAATCATTGGACCGTTTCTCGTATCTCACGGACTTGCATTTGGGAAAGAATCGGCGTCCGCGGACGGTCTTGTGTCCTATGCCTCCTTATCGACGGAATTTGCTAATTCCAATCATCCGAGTCCTCGATATTGGCTCCTTTGGCCTGGTGTTGCATGTATGGTGGCTGTCGCATTTGCAGGTGAGAGGGAAGACACCGCGATCCTAGACCTCAAAGACTTCATGAGACCAGCTGACATTTGCAGAGCTCTTGTGCCAATGGCAGGTTATATGGGTCGCTGTTCGCGGGCTGTACCGCACGCTTAAATCGATGCGAAAACAGCAATATTCGTATATAATCCTCGAAGAAGAGAAGGAGAGTAGCAGTGAGGGCATTCGAACCTGGATGTGGCTGCCAGGGCTGATAGTGACCATCGTCTTAACTTGCATTGTCATGAGTTCGCAGTTCGGTATGGCGATAACCGAGACTTTGCTAGCTCTTGCTCTAGCATTCTTCCTTTCACTCCTTGCGATACACGCGAACGGCACAACTGATACCACGCCTCTCACTTCTCTCACCAAGGTGACCCAGGTTGTTCTTGGGGTGAGCACTCAGGGGTCATTGAACATCGAAAACGTACAGCGCTTGAACCTTCTTGGCGGAGCACTCACCAATATGGGAGCAAATCAAGCCTGCGGTATGTTTGTCTCTTTGGTTCCTGTTCTTAAAGTTCCAGCGCTCATCGAGATGCATGCACTCAGATTTGATGGGTGACTTCCGAGTGGGCTTCCTTCTCGGCACGTCTCCACGAGTTCAATATGCCGCTCAAATGATAGGAACACTGGTTGCTGCCCTCGTTTCACCCGCCATGTTCCTGGTTTTTGCTACCGCTTACCCCTGTATTCTTTCGACGGACGATTCAGCTGAAGGGAATGCCGCCAGCCGATGTGAATTCTCTGCACCAGCCGTTTCGGCTTGGCGTGCTGTTGCCATTGCTGTGACGGGTCCAGAATCTGCCATCCCGCATAGCAGTCTAGTCTTCTCCATCGCCATGGCAGGGGTTGCGAGCCTCATGATCTTTTTTAAACATTTCGTCTGGGTTGGACGGTGGAAGAGAGTGCAAGTCTACCAGCCTAACATGATGGTAGTTGCGTTGGCATTCACACTTCCCTCAACTCATTATGGAACTGCAATGCTCATCGGGGCTTTTGTTGCCCAATATTGGTCAAAGAACCATCCCGATGGTTTCGAGAAGTATGGATACGCCGTGGCAGCTGGCTTCATGGCAGGCGAAGGGATTGGGGGAACACTCAACGCGATTCTCGCAGGGATTGGCCTGGACGGTGAAAGATTCGGCACCTCTGTTGGATGTCCTGGACAACGGTGTTGAAACGTTCGATACTAGTCAACCAATAATCTGGTATTCATGGCGCGAAAGCAATATAGAAGTATCATTTTTTGGGTGAAAGTGGAGGGACAAAGATTAGAGAAAGAAGACTAGAAATTCTATTCAGTGGAGTTCAGACTCTCACAGCACCATATATTTCCGAAGACTGAGGAGAAGAAGACAAGAGCCACAGCCGGGTGGAGATGAAACGGGTGCCTTGGAAATGAGGCTCTAATAGTCATGAGCGCAATCACCTGTTGACATCACGTGGCTTATCGATAAGGGCCTGTGACGGAGCTCCAACTTCGCGAGTGTTGTTCCTCAAGCAATTTCCGGAGACCATGTGGATCATTCGAGGTCCATCGAGCATACAGCTCTGTAAGAGGCCATTGTTATTCCAGGGCTTTGGCTTGAAGTCCTACTCCACCAAAACTTTCGATCCCCTCCGCATCCTCTTCTGCGGCTCCGACGAGTTCAGCATTGCTTCACTGAACGCTCTTCATGCCTACCACTTGAAGCACCCAGAACGGATATCTTCCATTGATGTTGTTTGCCGCCCGGGGAAACGAGTTGGAAGGGGATTGAAGCAGACTCGAGAAGGTATTTCAGCATCAAGCTCATAGAAGAATGGTTCTATAACTCAGTTCTCCATCCTAGTACCAATTAAAGCAGCTGCCTCGGCCCTCTCTCTTCCCGTGCACGAAATTGATACATTCACTGGTTGGAAGGTACTACTCAGGATCCATCAATCGGCAATCACTTAGCTGACCAGGCGGCTAGCCTCCGACATCCTCGAATGGTCCTATAAACTTGATCATTGCAGTGTCATTTGGACGTTTTGTCCCACCACGCATATTGAACGGGGCCAAATATGGTGGCTTGAACGTGCATCCCTCAATTCTACCCAAGTATGTGCCTGTTGACCCAAACATTCAAACAAGCCAATTAACCGATAGGCTAGCTTCCGTGGCCCTGCGCCCCTTCACCACACTCTTCTCGCCGGAGAGACCAATACCGGTGTAACAGTTCAAACACTACACCACGAGAACTTTGATCACGGTACCATCTTGTCACAAACGCCGGCCCCTGGATTCAATGTTCCAAACCCAGACTCCTGCACTGTCTTGGAGCTGCAGAGCCTTGTCGCGCCAAAAGGTGCACGAATGCTCGTGGAAAGCATTGAAAGGGGACTATATGTGCCCCCATTGAAGGATGTCGGATGGCATTCCTCCGAAGACAAGCGTGAATTGATCCACGCTTCTAAGATCAACCCAGAAGACAGACACATCAAGTGGACAGAATGGACCTCCGCCGATATAAACAGACGCGGCCGCGTAATTGGGCCTTTGTGGAGCAAGGCGACTTGCGCTACCGGTGCTGTGGATGGATCTCCTTCATTTCAACAAAAGAGGGTAATTTTCACTGATACCGAGGAGATAGATCCTCCTTTTGAGTGTCGGTCATTCCGAAAGCTCCCAGGTCTTCCCTTCACAGATGCCTCTCCCTCGGATGAACCCGGGACTGGTAATATCTACGTTTATACTGCGGATGCCAAGGTGCATCGCATCAATCGCATGAAAGTCGAAGGGCAAAAAGACTCAGCGGCCTTACCAGCCGCTCGAAAAGCTCGGATGCTAGGTGAAAGAACACCTCAATACGAGAACGGCGAGTTGACACCCTTCCATAACTCTCTTGTATAACAGGGAGCACCTGCGTGTATTCTATGTATTGGTCTACCAAAATGATACCCCATTGAACATCTATTTGATCGCAAAGCCGGAATCTATATGTGTGAGCTTTTGTTCCGCACCGATGTAAATGGTCGAGATCACATACCGATCTGAATGGCCTGTCCTGTCATCGAAGCATTCTTGGCCAGCGTGATGAACATATCCGCACAGTCTTCCACCTCGGGCTGAGTGATCATTAGCGCCTTCAAGGTTGCTTTGGGGGATGAGTCGCTTACCGCACGCTTGAGCACCGTGGCATTCGTCCAACCCTCGATCTTCTCAGGCGGAAAGCGTTGACCCTTCAGCTGTTAGTACATATAACCACAACTTTGCTGGAAACGAAGATTACCCATTCGGTGAGCAGAAGACCAGGCAAGATGGCATTGACGCGGACCTTTGCGCCTTGTGTCTGAGCAAGACATTTCATGAGATGAATCACTGTCCACAGTGAGTCGTTCATCCAAAACCACCCTCGAAAAAACAACTTACATGCTGCCTTCGTTACCGCGTAAGGCAAACTGCTGCCAGTTGCCGTGACACCCTAGGTGGAAATCCAAATCAGCAAATGAAATCTTCGCAGGGCATGTCTCGATTGTCGAGTGGATCGCTTATGTATCTTACCGCAATTGAGGCCGTGATAAGGAACACACCACCATCAGGATTCGCATTGAAGGTGGGAAGAGCCGCTTTGAACAGGTGTAAACTGCTTTTGACATTGACAGACCAGCACTGAATGTCCAGTGGTTAGCTAACAATTGCTCAAGTGCTTCACAGAGCATGCGTGTATCACCTTGTCCCAATCATCATCGTCCATGGCATCGAGATCGCCGAAGTTCGTTATTTTGGTCCATCCCTTTTCGACAGATTAGCAATGTTGCCTCGGAACTTTGGGGTTTGTAACGCACGGCATTGGAGATGATGATGTCCAAGCCACCTAACTGCTCAATGGCCGAATGGACGGTGTTAATACAATCCTGCTTTATTCCTGCATCCTATCAGACATGAATCGTCAGCAAAGATGATCAAAACCATTGGGGCTGTTTGACCATACACCTTGAATAACCACAGTCTTCACATTGTACTTGCTTGCAACATCCGAGGCAAGCTTCTCTGCCGTCTCCTTGCTGGACATATAGTTGATCGCAATGTTGCTGCCCTCGGAAGCGAACTTCTCGACCGAAAGTGCACCCAGGCCTCTATCACATCCATCAGCCTCGGAGCCACATGGGGGTGTCTGAAGGAAAACATACCGAGAGCCTCCAGTTATCAACACATTACGGCCTGCTAAAGAGTATGGCATGGTGAAATGCGGCGATGAGTTGATTTCGTGTGTTTGACCGAGGTACGAATTATTCCAAGGTTGAAGAAAGAGCAGGAGAGATCTTCAGTGTTACCGAGCTCACCGATTGTCTGCACCGATGCGGGGCAAATGCGGACTTCGTTGCGATTCGATCCAAATTATGAATATCCCCATGATGGATTGGGTGTCCTTCTAGGTTTGGACTAGAAGTAAATTGCTAGGCAGTCTACTTAGCAGCCTTTGAGGCCGAAGATGACCACCTAATAGATACTATAAACACTTCGGAGTACATGGGCCGTATACATCGGGTGTCCACCTACCGACCACACAAGTGGGTACAAAGTCGCCACTATTATTTGCAAGTATGTGTTAACTTGTTAGTAAACCAACTGATTGACTTTCCATTGTCTGGATAATTGACCGTCAGGACCTGTAGACGTTGGAAGTACCTAAAAGACCTTGGTGGTATCCACGCGGATGTGCAGGCAGATCATAAGCAATAGGCACACATTTAAAGGTCTTCAAGTTAGACGTGTCAAATATATCAACTCTATGTCACTGGGCTAGATAGAATACAGTAAAAGTGGCAGTTGAAAAGTGATATACAGTGCTGGGCATTTGGAGATACCCAACAAGACCAAAACAACATGAAAAGCGCTGTACAAAACATATAACATAGGACTCGTACCTTTCCAGGCAGGACATGACTTAAGTCTTCGGTTTCCTCTCCCACCCGGTTTTGAGCTCACCAGAAGGCTTGAATCGTGGGAATGGGTGGGCTTCTGTGTTGAAGACGTGGTCTTCCAAAGAAATGAACTCCTTATCCGAGAACAACAAGTAGAAATACTTCAGCGTCTCGGCCATCCAATAACTCTCCATGTTGTCACGCTTGTAGGGAGGCACTGCATCCGCATTTCCGAGTGATGTAAAGCCCTTGATGCGGAGGACTGGCTCTTTGGCTGTGGATGTTGGGAGACGGGAAACACTCTTCTTCTCCACTACAGCCGTATGACGGATGAAGGATTTAAAGATTTCCCAGCCCCATTCGCGGTAGATTTCATCACCAGTGATCCGGTACATGTAGACAAGCGATTCGATTGTCTCAGGTCGCTGAAGGTTGTGGCGGTCGTTTCGACGAATATCAATGTCTGAGCGCCAGGATTCTGAGCCATCGCGTTGGGGCTCGAGGGGTTTGGAGATGCCACGCAGAATTTCGGGCTTTGATTTGGCCAGGGCAGGATATTTATCGGCCATTGTCAGGGGTGGGTCGTCCAGGACGAAGTATGAGATCTCAGCTGCGAGACCGGTTGCCGTGGCCTGATGCATCGCCCAACAGGTTTTCATCAGTTCGCGAGCAATGAGGATTTCTTCCTCACGCTGTTGAGACCAGTCTGTTGTCTTTCGAGCCTTTGATAATGGCTGGCCGCCGGTTGCACCGAGGGCAATTGTCCCCGGCATGAAGCAGACAAGGTGATCCATCCGAGGGGAGAGTTCCTGGTCTAGGCCTTGTGGTCGTTCACCGAGGACCATTAGCTGGGAGTTCTTGGTGAAGGAGATCAGGTGCTTGCGGATTCCTTGCAGGGCCTCATCCCACATCTCCTTGTAGATGGGCTCCGTTTGTGAGGTTTGCAGGTACTGCTTGATGAGATATTCTAAGAAATGTTAGCCATGAATTCTTGAAAAGGAATGAAATAGCGATGTACCATAGTAAGAGTCTGCCTTGTTACCCAGGCTGATGCTGTCTCCTTTGAAATGACCGGTGTCGGGATGAATAGCGCTTCGCACAAGACCATCTTGGGGCTGCTGCAGATCAACCAACTGCATAGTCTTTTCCACCTTTTCCCAATATTCAGCTTCACCGGTTAACTTAGCCAAGTACTTGAACTCAAGCTGCAAAGAGCCTGCCTCGGAAATGGGTGTAGCTCCTTCATCGAAATGAACAACCACACCCTCGGATGTGTTGAGATTGACATTCGACCACGGGATGCCACTCGGGGAATCGAAAGCCCCCAGTAGTCTCTCAGCTAAATCTGCCGCTTTTTCAATGTACAAGTCTTCGCCAGCAGCGCCGACATCGTCGTCATTGAGCGGTGCCAGGTTAGGGTACTGGGTCGACAAATGATGCGCAGACAATAAGCCACCAAGCATACGAATACTTGTCTCAAACGTATTGACCTCGCGATCTTGGTCATACTGCAATGATGTCGAAATCCATTGTCGGGCACGGTGAACCTTCGATGTTAGATTCATGATCATCAATGTGTCCAGCGAATCCACAATCATCCAGCCCAATCCGCCGCTCGTTGATTCCTGATTCACATTTGATACAGGCCGGTACTGGTCATATCCTGCTTGAAAGTCAGTAATGTCCACCCGCAACGGTTACAAGACCTACCCCATGCGTTCTGCTCGTAGCCTTCCCAACTGACGATGAAGGCGTCCCGCACTTTCTCTCGTCTCTCGGCCCAATCGGACGATTCTGAAGATTTCTCATCCTCCAATGTCTGCGCCCATTTCCACAGTTCCACCCCCCTGTCATTAGACTGGAGGCCTGACCACGTGGTAAGATAGAAGTTATAGTACAATAAAAACACCATGCTACATCCCAGCAGAATGTAACAGAATGGCCTCCATCTTCTCCGCGGACCTGTGCGCCGCGGCTGGAAGAATGGCTTGTCTTTGTACAAGGGTAGAGTGCGGTCTTTCTCGAAATAGCCGTTCACTTTATTCGATAGGGGAATCGGTTGGTTCGATAGCCCGTAGCCGCGCAGCCCGTTTCGTGAGTTCTGGTAGAAGCTTTCTTGCTGCGCGGGCGCAAAAGGACTGCGGGATGGCTGGTATGCCATTGTTTCGATCGTGTCTGCTTCGTAGGGTTTGTGGTCTTGCGATTATTGGGTGCGAGACATGGAGGCGCAAGAGTGTCTCCTGTAGGCCTTAATGATCGCGTGTATTGTATATTTCAGGAAGAGGCGAGTCTAACGGAGACCCAGAAGTGTTCTCTGCTGGAGTAGGGACGGTCAGTCGCAAAGGTTCCTTGCGAGGTGATCCTTCTTGGCCTGGACACTTACCGAGGCACACGTCTGGTGCCTGGGTTATTATGGTATTTTCAACCCCGGATGTGATTGCAACGAGAGACGATTTGAATGAGAATTGCCGTGTTGGTTGTTAGGTGGTAAACAATTTATTGGGGATGCGGAGGCGGAAGTCGTCCCGCGTGTCCTCAGCGGAAGTTTACTGGGCTAAAGTATGAAGTATGTAGACGGGTGTGAATCCCAGTGGCGACTCCTAATCCAACACCGTTCTGTAATTAGATGTAAAGGGCAGTTTCAACGAAATAGAGAAGTGGAGAGCGAATCTAAGGACTCAGCAAATCATATTTTGGACGCGTAGCCCCCAGGGAAGCCTTACTAGTGATTACCCTACGAATACGTGCTTTTTCTCTTCGCAATGCGGGCCTTTTTCAGGTTACTGGCAAGAAGTAGAAAAGGTTGAATGCATAGTATTAGCGCTTTAGGTGGAAGATCTAAACCGTGCACTGGGATGGTCCTGCATAGATACAATTACAGCTTCTGGTACTCAAGCTTGCCCTCCAACTTCTTGGCTTCTGCCACCTTCCGTACGGCCTTGTTGAAGTCGTCCTGGTTGATGGAGTCACGGTAGTCCTTGATCGCAAACAGACCGCTAGATTGAGTTAGTTTGGTAGGCTTTGTAGGAAAGAGTTTAACTTACGCCTCAGTAACCACGTTTCGAAGATCAGCACCGTTGAGGCCATCACTCATCTTGACCACACTCTCAAAGTCGAGGTCACCATCTTTTTGGACCGTGCTTGTGTGAATCTTCAAGATCTCCAGACGGCCCACCTCGTTGGGAAGAGGAATTTCAATCTTACGGTCCAATCGACCGGCACGCAACAGAGCAGGGTCCAGTGTGTCGGGTCGGTTTGTGGCCATGATGATCTTCGTCTTTCCTAGATAGTCGAAACCATCCAGTTGGTTCAGCAACTCCATGAGCGTTCGCTGAATTTCTCGATCTGCCGATGTACCCTCCGAGAATCGTCGACCACCGATAGCGTCAATTTCATCCATGAAGATGATGCAGGGCTCATGTTCCTTGGCGTATCCGAACATTTCTCGGATCAGTCGGGCGGATTCACCGATATATTTATCCACAATGGCAGAGGATACAACTAGTAGTCAAATATGTGAGCCAGTTGCATAATGTAAGAAGAATGGGAGATCAGATACATACCCTTCAAGAAATTGGTCTCTATCGAGCTGGCCACTGCTCGTGCAAGCAGTGTCTTACCAGTTCCCGGGGGACCATAGAGCAGGACGCCCTTCGGGGGCTTGATTCCAACTCTGAAAAAGAGTTCTGGGTTCTTCAGGGGCAACTCAATGACCTCACGAAGCTCTCTGATTTGGTCATTGAGACCACCGATACCCGCGAAGTTGACTGATCCGGGATCCTCCAAAGACATGTTGTACACCATGGGATCGACCTCACGAGGCAGCATCCGCATGATGGTAAGTGTTGTCATATCCAAGGCTACACGTGTGCCCTGCTTCATCTTGGCCTTATCCACCTTTGACCGACAACCGACCACATATCGAGGACCCGACGACGCCTTGACAATGACTGTGGAATTATTAGCTTCTGGGCAAATGTACAGATGCGCATTGCATGATATTTGGATACTCACATCGCTCCTCATCAAGCTGCTTCAGTACTTCACCGATGATCTGACCAACACTTTGTAGTGCCTTGATGTTATCCTCGGAGACATCGAATTCTCTTTGAAGATCTTTGATTCCCAGACGAAGACCTTTCAACTTGGCTTCCCACTCTCGTAGTTCGAGTAAGCTCTTCTTATAGTCCTCAAGCGCCTGGCCGCGCTCCGGGTCGCTCATGATGAAGGACGGACGAATAGAATTCGCCGAGTATTGGGGGAAAAGAGGAAGGTATCAAGAGGAAGAAGTAGCTCGGGAGTGTATGAGATGTATCGTGTAAGGTCGTGGATGCAGGGTGGATGGATATCGTGATTGAAAGGGCGACAGCACCTTGCCTGGGGAGCTACCAGCGCAACGTCGATGAGCTTCCAAACACCTGGGTCACGTGATTGTAGATTATGTCACATACTCGATCGCTGACACCTCAGGCATTACATCGGTGCCCTGTTCATAAGGCAACAATATTCACGCCTTGACGCCTGATATATCAGGAACCAACTCGGGTTGTCTCGAGCACTTCGTCACCCGAAGATGGACCTCAATGACCGAATGCTACGTAAGATAAAGATTGGATTGAGTGATCTTCAATTGGTCAACTACATGCATTGCACACTACTCCGTACCTACAGGACATTCTGTACTCCATAACATCGGACAAGTAAATCAGAAGATGTGAACAAGGGACAGAGGCATTAGAGCCATTCCAGCCCATAGGCGCATGTGTCATGCACTGGACACGTACGTTACGCCTTGACACGAAACCGGTGCATCATCGAGGTCTCTCTCCCGAGGGACGGAAGATCTCGTAACTAAAGGCCGCATACGGTCGGACCAGCCAGCAAGAGCTGGAGTACGGACGTGGAGCCCCACTGTAGTATTGGAAAGAATCGGAGCAGAGCAATGAGCTTTCCCGGGGTTATTACGGAGTAGAGGTATTTAAGTCAAGGGTCTCCGTATTGATTTACTTTCTTTCTTTTTTAAGTTGTTTACTTCTTTACAAAAGGTGAGTGTGCACTTGAGTGGTTATAACCCATTTCCATACCCCGCCATGCCCCTCCATCTATATACAATACCCCCCCTACACACTCTCTACCCTTCTGGAATGGCATAGAATCTCTCTGAGCCAGACCGGTGATCGTAGTTGGAACTCGCCAATTGCCCCATCAACGACTGGTTGAGCTCAAGCAAATCATGTCTGTCTCCCTCCTCCCGCCGGATCTTTTTGGGTCATCGGTGAACCTCTTCCCCGCCGTTAGTCACCTGCTTGCTACCATTTATCTGCCACGGCTTCTCCTTTTTTCTTCTTCTTTCAACTGACTGAATCTCCAGCCTATTCAATCATGCCTATCTCCAAGATCCACGCTCGCTCCGTCTACGACTCGCGCGGTAACCCCACCGTTGAGGTGGACGTTGTCACCGAGACCGGTCTCCACCGCGCCATTGTGCCCTCCGGTGCTTCCACTGGTTCGTCGTCCCCAATGCTCATGATTTGAACATAATTCCATCTTCAGAGTCAATGTGGCTAACTTTGCCTTCCAGGACAGCACGAGGCCGTCGAGCTCCGCGATGGTGACAAGACCAAGTGGGGTGGTAAGGGTACGTGAACAACTATCTCCATCGTTAAAACATAAGAACTCAAGCTAACGGATCTTAAACAGGTGTCCTGAACGCCGTCAAGAACGTCAACGACGTTATTGGCCCCGCCATCATCAAGGAGAACATCGATGTCAAGGACCAGGCCAAGGTTGACGACTTCCTGAACAAGCTCGATGGAACCGCCAACAAGGGCAAGCTCGGTGCCAACGCCATTCTCGGTGTCTCCCTGGCCATTGCCAAGGCTGCTGCCGCTGAGAAGGGTGTTCCCCTTTACGCTCACATCTCCGACCTCGCCGGAACCAAGAAGCCCTACGTCCTGCCCGTTCCCTTCCAGAACGTCCTGAACGGTGGCTCCCACGCCGGTGGCCGTCTGGCCTTCCAGGAGTTCATGATTGTCCCTGAGTAAGTTCTTCCAAGCCCCATATAAGGGTTACAGTTGACTAACCACAAACAGCACTGCTCCTTCCTTCTCCGAGGCTCTCCGCCAGGGTTCCGAGGTCTACCAGAAGCTCAAGTCTCTCGCCAAGAAGAAGTACGGCCAGTCCGCTGGTAACGTCGGTGACGAGGGTGGTGTCGCTCCCGATATTCAGACCGCCGAGGAGGCCCTTGACCTCATCACTGAGGCCATCGAGCAGGCTGGATACACCGGCCAGATCAAGATCGCCATGGACGTTGCTTCCAGCGAGTTCTACAAGGAGGATGCCAAGAAGTACGACCTTGACTTCAAGAACCCTGACTCCGACCCCACCAAGTGGCTCACTTACGAGCAGCTTGCCGACCTCTACAAGTCCCTTGCTGCCAAGTACCCCATTGTCTCCATCGAGGACCCCTTCGCTGAGGATGACTGGGAGGCCTGGTCTTACTTCTACAAGACCTCCGACTTCCAGATTGTTGGTGATGACCTGACTGTCACCAACCCTCTGCGCATCAAGAAGGCCATTGAGCTCAAGTCTTGCAACTCCCTTCTCCTGAAGGTCAACCAGATTGGTTCCCTCACCGAGTCTATCCAGGCCGCCAAGGACTCCTACGCCGACGGCTGGGGTGTCATGGTTTCCCACCGCTCCGGTGAGACCGAGGATGTCACCATCGCTGACATTGCTGTCGGTCTCCGCTCCGGCCAGATCAAGACCGGTGCTCCTGCCCGCTCCGAGCGTCTTGCCAAGCTCAACCAGATCCTCCGCATCGAGGAGGAGCTCGGTGCTGACGCTATCTACGCCGGCGCCAACTTCCGCACTGCTGTCAGCCTTTAAATGCAACCGGCAGTATAGTTTGAGCCAAGGGTTCGCCCAAAACTGATGGTTTGACGACGAACCAGCCATCGCCCATGACGATTATGAATTTAATAGGATCTTTTTGAATGAAACAAATTTCCACAGGAACAAGTGAATCAACATTAATCTAGGAGTGAGTGTATGAAGTACAGTAAACGTATGTATGAAATCTGTGCTGGAAATGGCGTACAATCCGCAGATCTCAGGTGGCGTGAACGCGGATCAAAACCACACCGCCTTGGGATTGTAGACTATGTCCGAGATCACGTGCACATCCCACTAAAATTTACCCTTCGCCCCTCCATGATTGTGTATCCAATTGATAGTGTCCGGTCTTGCGTTTAGCGGATTCGCTTTCTTTCTTTTTCTAGCAACCTTTTATACTTCAAATACTCAAAATGCCGCCTTCCAAGTGGGGTAGGTTCAAATCCTTTGTGCATGCGCTCAAAATGCGTAGGCAGTAACATCAGTGGCTAATCTTTTTGATCCTATACAGACGAAGAAGAAGAGGATGTTCCTCCCCCCGTGACAGCACCCCGCCGCCGCTTTGACGACGAGGAAGAGGAAGAGGTATGACTCCTCCGCCCCCTTCGTCTTAGACACCGCTCACCAAACCTAGGTCCTCGACTCATGGGATGCCGGCGAAGACTCCGAGGTCGAGCGCGAGAAGGCCAAGAAGGCTGCCGAGGCTGAGGCCGCCGCTAAGGCCAAGGCCCTCGCCAATAAGAAGACCAAGGCTCAGCGGATAGAGGAAAACCGCGAGAAGCACCGTCTCGAGCGCGAGAACTTTGGCGAGGCCGAAAGCGAGGACGAGACTGAGCGTCGCGCCCGTCTGCGCAAGACCGAACAGGAGGCCGATCTTGCTCACGCCGAGGATCTGTTCGGCAGTGTCGACGTCAAGCGCAACAAGGGTGCCCCCAAGGCCGTTGTCGTTACCGATTCCAAGGACCCCACCAACTCCGTCGATCTGTCCGCCATGCCGCTCTTCAAGCCCACCACAAAGGACCAGTTCAACCGCCTCACCGAGATCCTTGTGCCCTTGCTCACCCCTCACTCGAAGAAGGCCCAATACTCCCTCTGGGCACAGGACTTCACTCGCAAGCTAGTGAAGGAGCTTCCTAGCGCTGAGATCAAGAAGGTTGCCAGTGCTCTCACCACCGCTAGCAACGAGAAGATGCGCGAGGAGCGTGCTTCTGACAAGGGCAACAAGAAGTCCAAGGCGGCCAAGACTAAGATCTCGCTGAATGCCAGCCGTGACGCTCAGCCTGACACCAGCCAATACGACGATGATGGTCTTGGCGATGACGACTTTATGTGAATGTGACTACGGACGACTACGGATGACTCTCCATGAATTGTTACGTCGTTTTCCTCTGGCCTTGATTGAAAATACGCATCCAGGAAGGTTACCATCTTTCTTGCCTCACCTATCTGGGCCTACGGGTCCCGGTATTGCCCTTCCCACCTAAGCTCTCCTATGTATATCCCATCCCCATCCTACACTTGCACCAAGATCAGGTTACCCATAGACACACAATCCATTCAATTACATGACTTCAAACATTACCATTAATAAACTTCGCCAACTTCTCAACCCCAGAACTCAACAAACAAAGAAAGAACCTCACTCAACGAACCCTGAGCTCCGAACAGCTGATCTAATCCCACGATTCCTGTTGAGAATCGCCAGCGGTATAGCCTCTTGTTCAAGACTTCCCACATTCCTTCCAATATTCAGATACCCTTCGTCATCCAAGGCAAATAACGCCGCCTGAACCCACATTTGGGAACAAAGATCCCGGTACCGACCAGAAAACCCAGTGAGTGGGACGAGCCCTAACCTCGTAGCCAACGCGGCATTCAAAACAGGCCCAATGACCCCAATTTGCAGAGCAATGACCAATCTCCCATTCGTTGACATATCGGCCATCTCGCTTTTGTATTCCCAGCCCACCGACCCAGGGTCGTTGGTTCTGTGGAAGAGCTGACCTGTCGTGGTTGTCAAGGCAAGAAATAGTTGCCATTCAAAGTGACAGTGGTGGTCCAGGTTCAAAAGGAGGATGTAGAAACTGTTTGGCTCGAAGAGGAGTGCCATTTGAAGGAATGTCTTGATTGTTTGACTTTCAGATTGGTTTTTCAAGATGATGCAGATGAATAGCAACATTTCTCGAGGATCCTCTACCCCATTTATATCCCCTTGCCCGAGTGCCTTCTACCAAGAACACTCACATGGCCACTTTATACCATCTGTTTCTGACTTGGTTCCCCGAACGAATCCCAGAATCCAACAGCATTGAGTCGGTATGATCCAGGGAATAGCATTAGCAAAGTGACACTGCTTGCATACCTTGCTAGACATCGTATTCAGTAGAGCAGGCCACTCGGAGTCTTCCCGATGCCGCGCTAGGCACTAAAGCCAGCGCGGTGATATAGCTTTGCATATCTAGGTACAATTGTATGGTGTACGCAAAGACCAGGGACCTGCTAGTTTGATCATGTGCTTTCATAGTTGGCATCAAGGACCAAAAATAGAGTCCTATGGGCAAGGGTGTCAACATTGGGGGTTTTGTCTGGTATGGGAACGAGATTGTCGACACTAAGATGATTTTGTAATAGTTCATGCCCAGGTGCTTTTTGATGCTTTCGAGTACAACCTGCACTTTCCTAATCTCGCAAAGCCTCATTCCAACCAGATCGAAATCGCAACTAACCCCGGCTTCGCCAAGAGCAAACAATCAGACCCCTTTTGACCCCAGGGCTCAGGTTAAAGGAATTCCGAATCCTCGCCCACATGCAGCGGTCTCAATTACAAACCTCTAGCGGCTTGACGCGCGGCAATAGACATGTCGACATGTCTATTAGAAGAGAAACCCGAAGTCTGCATCGTGGCTGTCCTTATTTCTCAGTGTCTCATATTCATGCTGCCGCAATCTATATAGTATACCCCGTCGCTGGACGAGTCGGAACCCAAGGGACAGGGTGGTGCATATCATCTAGAAAGAATATGGCATTGACCAAGTGCTCCGAGCTTCGTGGACAATCACGGAATCAACTTGACACAGACCACTTGACATGTTGCAAGTCTGAACTGCCTGGTACAGTTCATATTGGGCCTCTGGAATAATAGCTCAATCACTAATGACAGTCAACATTACGCGAACACATAATCCTAACCTTATCATTTATAGACCATGAGCAGCAAGCAAGACTCATAGTCATTATCATGACTATAGTAGAGAAGCCACGATTCGTTACTATGCGGCGGTCTCAGTCATCGCTTTAGCTTTGCATACCTATTGCAGCATGCAATGCCATGCCCCCCTCAGCTGTCATATCTTTGCTTGTGCGTCCCCCCCCCCCTTGTGGCGCGACATCGTGTTCCGGGAATGTCGAAGACCTACCATTTGAAATACAGTACTTCTAGGTAGGCGGGGCTTTAAATAAGGAATTCCGAATAGAGCGCTCTAAATTCAAACTGACTCCTGTGGTCAATTCTCTAGTAGTAAACTTCCTTATGCGTTTGGACGATATTGGAAATTGCGTGTTCGACTTCGAGTTCGAGTCTGATGGTTTCGAATCCACTCTGACGAAAACTTTTCTTCAACTGGAGGCCTGGTGGTCTAGTGGTATGATACGCGCTTCGGATGTCAAAGTCTCCATCTACTAAAAGGTGGCCCTCCTTATGCGCGTGGTCCGGAGTGATTCCCCTTTTTTTTGGTCGAGAATGCCCTGGAGAAGTTCTTGCGATTGGGTTTCCAGTGAGAGGAATGGTGGAGGTCGGTGAGTCCGCTCAGAGAGCAATGATATTTGTACCTGAGCCTCATTGCTCATTCCTGTGGTGTTTGCTGTGCTGTCCGGCTTTGCTCTCCGACGAATCGATTATGGAGTGGTTTATTGGCCCATGGCTCCACCGATTCGGGATTCAAACGTGCTGATTTCTTAGAATGTGGCATTTGGAATTGTCGCATCCTGTCAAGGATGGGGCAGGGGTTCATATCTGAGCAGGATTCCGCGTGCGTAGATGCATACTGGTGAGGATTTACTAGTGACGTGGAATACGGTTAAAATGGGAATCATTGGCTACGCAGCAAACCCAATACAGGGAGCATCTCGAATGGAAAATAAACACATTGAAACCGTGCTGCAGTGGGAATAGAGACGATAAAAGAGAGAGAACTTTCCACTCAGCCCTTTTTCTGCTCGCGTCAACCGAATATCAAACTCCGCCGGCCGACCCACACGGTCCCGAACACGTGCAAGATATCTGCCGGACAAACCCAGCGCTGCGGTGAAAACAAAGAAGCGAGTTGCATGACCACGTCCATAAGTGCGAACGCCCACCCTTACCAATCGGCATATGGCTCAATGTGAACCCTTAAGAGTCGGCCTCGACGGGCTTGGTCTCCTCGGGCTTCTCCTCGGCAGGAGCAGCAGCCTCGGCAGCGGGGGCCTGAGCCTCCTCCTCGGGCTTGTCCTCCTTGGAACCCTCGCCATCGTTGCCGTCAGATGAGGTCCAGAGAGTAAGGTTATCGCGCAGAAGCTGCATGATGAGGGTGCTGTCGCGGTAGCTCTCCTCGGAGAGAGAGTCAAGCTCGGCAATGGCGTCATCGAATGCCTGCTTGGCGAGGTGGCATGCGCGATCAGGGGAGTTGAGGATCTCGTAGTAGAAGACGGAGAAGTTCAGGGCAAGACCCAGGCGGATGGGGTGGGTGGGAGTGAGTTCGGTCTGGGCAACGTCGGTGGCGCTCTGTCACACGGTTAATGGTCCGTTGAGTCGAAGTATCACAAGAATGTTAATTTACCTTGTAAGCCTCGTGGGCAGCAGTCGCAGCTCCCTTGCGCTTGGGACCAGAAGCGAACTCGGCGAGGTAACGGTGGTAGTCACCCTTCCTGTTGTGAAAGTCAGTCCTGCCGCAGACTCTTGGAACGCAGAGGTTCTAGGTGCAACCCACATCTTGTAGTAGAAGACCTTGGACTCGCCAGTCTCAGCCTTGGGAATGAGAGCATCGTCGAGGACGTCAAGGACGTCCTGGCAGACCTTCTCCAGTTCGGTCTCGATCTTCTGACGGTAATCACGGATGATGCCAACGTGCTCATCGGTACCCTTGGACTCCTCCTTCTGCTCGATGGAGGAGATGATGCGCCAGGAGGCACGACGGGTGCCAACCACGTTCTTGTAGGCAACGGACAGAAGATTACGCTCGTCGACAGTGAGCTCGCCACCGATCTAAATACAGGTCAGTCATGAGTGTCTCTTCAGACAGATCCCGATGGTCGGGTAATGACGGTGTCATACGTTGGCGACTTCCTATTTGGCGATTAGCAAGAATCCTCTGGCGAGCCGACCACACGGATTACAACTCACCTTCATGAAGGTAACCATTTCTGTCAAACAAGGAATGACACGTCAGCAAACGCGCCCAACCACACTGGCGCGAAGTGACTTACCATCGTAGCGCTCGGCCTGCTCGCAAAGCCGAGCGAGGAACGTCTTGCTGGTGAGGGGTTAGTACTGTAGGGGTAACGAGGGGCCGGATGGAGGCGACGATCATACTTCTCACGCTGCATTGTGAAGACAGTTGTTAGTCCAGATCTTATCGAATTTCCAGATGGGGGGACCTCAGATGAGGGAATGTGGGATTGCGATGGGCGGTGACAACACAGAGAGGGGGAAGATCACGTACCTCAGAACCCATGATGAATTCGAATCGAAATGGGTGGAAGTTAGGGCTTAGAAAAGGAGATAGAAAGTAGGTGCAGGAAAAGAAGATGGAAGACCAAGTGGGGGGGGGGGGGGAAAGAGAGAGATGGTCCAGAGGTGAAGGGACGATTTGGGGGGATTTGGATCATAACAATAATACGCTGCTGTCATGTACCCGGTACCTAGCTCTCCTATAATGGTCCCACTCTGAGCAAGTACCACAGTACTTGCACTGCGGCCCAGTATTGACCTTACGGCTGATCCCCCCTACAGGGTAATTTATTTGGCGGGGTAAGGTATAGTTGACTGAAACTATTACCAGTGATTGTAGTTCTAGTGAATTCCTCAACACCTATCGACTCAGTCTTACTGGTGCCCCTTTGGTGTGAATACTTTGTACAACTCCCACGGGGTTGGAGGTGTACTTCATACACTCTGTACAAGCAAACCGTACACTCCGTACACTCCGTACCAGAACCTTCGGCCGGTACTGCGACCGAGCTGAAACACGCGTAGGGGGTGTCACCATGAGGGTGAGAACCTAGGAGACTGGGAAATCAGCAAGTTTTATCTGTTCACAGACATAGCTTGATGTGAACGGAGAATGGAGGGGAACCTTCCAGACCGGTACCTGTACAAAACTCAGTCGCATACCGGTGCCACGTCGTGGAGGGCGGACTTTGAACTCAGAGTGTGAGGAGCATTGTGGACGAGAATATGAGAGACTTGACACAGATCTCCAATTTTAGAACATGATACTCCATACGGAGTACCGGTCAGGGACGTGTCTATAACGTGATACGGCGACAGCCCCAGCGCCCTGGAGTTGTAAGGTCTCCCTCCCTCTCTCTCTTTACATTTTAACCCTTCATATACGAGTAGCTCTAGCAGCCCTGGAGCTCAAAAGACAGTGTGGATCCCCACAGAAATCAATCGAAATCAAGGCAAAGGATCTTCACAGTTGACCCGAAAGCAGAACCCGCATCGTCACCGTAAGTTCTCAAGTCTTTGACACCAGAATCCGATTGATCATTTCTGAGTACGTGTATCTACAAGTACATCGTGGGATTGATTGGTTGCATTGCACTTGATATGCATAGTACTTTCAAGCCTCAAGCCAAGACTTCGAAATGTTGGCCCTGTCTTGAAGATACACCTCGAAGAAGATCCGGAGCAAGGAGGTGAAGTACCGATATGCCAGATTCAGGGCCATGTGGTTGAGTGGCATATAGTCTCCGATTCACTTGGGAAGTACAAGCTACAAGCTACAAAGTACTCCGTACTCCGTAAACTATGTAAGATGTGCTAGACCATAAACCAGTGATATCATAAATATGCAATGGACACCTGTCTTAGCGTCAGCCCTACAGGCAGAGCGATGTTAGCGTGTTTTGGGAGATTCTGCTATGCTTTCCAAGGTTAGGCCTAATCTCGGTGGACATTCCCAGTGTTGTCCTCAAAGACCTGGTCGGATTATGCGCAAAATTGCCCTGTGTACCACATTAGGCACATCCTAAGGGTGAAAGGGATAGACACCTGCTCTAGTAGCCCGGGTCGGTTTTGAAGATCGCACATTTCAGGCTGCGGTGTTTGCCGGAGTAAGTCGCCAAGATGGGAAGCTTGGAAATTACCCACCAGGGAGCTCTGATAGGCACGAACTATGCAGCCTAAGAGGGCCCCGATGGGGTTCATCTCAACCCTCTCGGATTGACGTCCATAGCACTACCGAGTTCTATAGGAAGTATACGGGTAGGTATGATCGCGAGAGGTGAAAGAAAGCAAAAAGAGGATTAGCAAATGAAATTATTATAGAGGTAGATGGTAAGAAGGCAAAGAAGCGTAGTAAACACAAAAAGGCAAAAGGGCGAAAGAAGCGGAGAATTCCCGCTTCAGCCCTGTGGCCCCTGCTTACTCAATCGCTGGAATCAATGAGAACACGTTGTGCCGAGTGGAGAGTCTCAACTTCCCCAGTTCCATTTACCCTTTTTCTTTTCTTTTCTTCATATTACTTCAGGTCATATATTTGATCTCTCTCCTTCCCCCTCTCTCTCTGGGTGCCACCGGAGGTTATTTATGCGTTCGATCTAAACCACTCATTCCCTCGTTTGTTTACGATCCCACCCTCGCGGCACTAGCAATTGAGCGCTTTTGTCGTTAAGGGTCTCTAAGATCATGGAGAACGCCTTTCTCCGCTCCCCAGCGGAGGCTCTTGAGCACTTTAAGGTCTCTGAGCAGTCTGGCCTGTCTCAGAATGCGGTCTTGAAGGCCAGACAACAGCATGGCCCCAATGGTGAGTACGCTGCAGGATGACGACTAGGCCACATCTAATATTTGCTATCCAGCCCTTGCCGAAGAACCCCCAACTCCCATGTGGGAGCTCATCTTGGAACAATTCAAGGATCAATTGGTTCTGATCCTACTTGGTTCGGCCGCCTTATCGTTCGTCCTCGCGCTCTTCGAAGAGGGCGACGATTGGACTGCATTCGTGGACCCCGTCGTTGTACGTGAAAGCCCCCCTCTGCCTTTTCTTGCGCCGTGCTGACTATGACGCGTTCTTGTTGCAGATTCTCACTATCCTCATCCTCAACGCCGTGGTCGGAGTGACCCAGGAAAGCAGCGCGGAAAAGGCTATCTCCGCTCTTCAGGAGTACTCGGCCAACGAGGCCAAGGCCATTCGAGATGGAAAGGTTACCAAGGTCAAGGCCGAGGATTTGGTTCCTGGAGATGTGATCCAGATTGCGGTGGGTGACCGTGTCCCTGCCGATTGCCGGCTGCTCGCCATCCACAGCAACAGCTTCCGTGTTGACCAGGCTATCCTGACCGGTGAGAGTGAGAGTGTCGCAAAGGATACCGGGGCTATTAAGGATGACCGGGCTGTCAAGCAGGATCAGGTCAACATGCTTTTTTCTGGAACCACTGTGGTAAACGGTCATGCTTCTGCTCTTGTTGTGCTGACTGGTAGCTCGACTGCTATTGGTGACATCCACGAGAGCATCACTGCTCAGATCTCCGAGCCAACTCCCTTGAAGAAGAAGATCAACGACTTTGGCGACATGCTTGCCAAGGTCATCACCGTGATCTGTATCCTTGTCTGGGTTATCAACTATGAGAACTTCAATGACCCCGCGTTTGGCGGCTGGACCAAGGGTGCTATCTACTATCTGAAGATTGCAGTCTCCCTCGGTGTTGCTGCTATCCCCGAGGGTCTGGCAGTCGTCATCACTACTTGTTTGGCCCTCGGCACCCGCAAGATGGCCCAGAAGAACGCCGTGGTCCGGTCTCTTCCCTCTGTCGAAACTCTTGGTAGCTGCAGTGTGATTTGCTCTGACAAGACCGGAACCCTCACTACCAACCAGATGAGTGTGGAGAAGATCGTCTATCTGTCCAACTCCGGCAACGATTTCGAGGAGATCGATGTCGAAGGTACCACTTTCACTCCCCAGGGCAAACTCTCTCGTAACGGAAAGGTCGTTGAGAACTTGGCTGTTTCGTCTTCCACCATCGGACAGCTTGCCGAGGTCACTGCTCTCTGTAACGCCGCTACCCTCGCTCATGACGCTAAGAGCGGAGCTTTCTCCAGCATTGGTGAGCCCACTGAAGGCGCCCTGCGTGCTCTGGTCGAGAAGATCGGAACCAACGACTCTGCTCTGAACGAGAAGCTTTACCGCCTCCCCGCCTCGGAAAGATTGCACGCCGCCAGCGCTCACTACGAGTCTCGTCTCCCCCTGAAGGCTACCTATGAATTCTCCCGTGACCGTAAGAGTATGTCTGTTCTCGTTGGCGAGGGTCAGGATCAGAAGCTGCTTGTGAAGGGCGCCCCCGAAAGTATCTTTGATCGTTGCTCCCACGTCATTCAAGGCTCTGATGGATCTCGTGTTCCTGTCACCAAGAACCACTTGAAACTTCTCTCCGAGGAGGTCATTGAATTCGGTAACCGTGGTCTCCGCGTTATGGCTATTGCAAGCGTCAACGGCGTCTCTGGCAACCCCCTGCTGAAGAGCGCCTCTATCAACGAGGATTACGCCAAGCTTGAACAGAACATGACTCTCATTGGTCTGGTTGGAATGTTGGACCCCCCTCGCGTGGAGGTTGCCAGCTCTATCAAGAAGTGTCACGATGCCGGCATTCGTGTTATCGTCATTACCGGTGACAACCCCGCCACCGCTGAGTCCATTTGTCGCTCCATTGGTGTCTTCGGCGCCAATGAGGATCTGACTGGTAAGAGCTTCACTGGTCGTGAATTTGACAATCTGAGCGAAGGTGAGAAGATGAAGGCTGTCCAGACTGCCTCGCTCTTCTCCCGGACTGAGCCTAGCCACAAGTCGAAGCTGGTTGATCTCCTCCAATCCATGAACCACGTCGTTGCTATGACCGGTGACGGTGTCAACGATGCTCCCGCTCTGAAGAAGTCCGACATTGGTGTTGCTATGGGTACTGGAACCGATGTGGCCAAGATGGCTGCTGACATGGTTCTGGCTGACGATAACTTTGCTACCATTACTGTTGCCATTGAGGAGGGTCGTTCCATCTACAGCAACACTCAACAATTCATCCGCTACCTGATCTCCTCCAACATTGGTGAGGTTGTATCTATCTTCCTGACTGCTGCCCTTGGTATGCCCGAGGCTCTGGTTCCCGTGCAGCTATTGTGGGTCAACCTTGTCACCGACGGTCTGCCCGCCACTGCCCTGTCCTTCAACCCTCCTGACCATGATGTGATGAAACGTCCTCCTCGACTTCGCGACGAGGCTCTTGTCGGTGGCTGGTTGTTGTTCCGCTACATGGTCATTGGTATCTACGTTGGTGGTGCCACCGTCTTCGGTTACGTCTGGTGGTTCGTCTACAACGCCGATGGTCCTAACATCACTTTCTCTCAACTGGTACGTTCAATACTCTCTTTTGATATTTCCACAAGTCCTCTCTAACATCGCCTAGGCCGACTTCCACAGGTGCTCCTCCCAGTTCCCCGAGATTGGATGTGAGATGTTCAGCAATGACATGGCCAAGTCCGCCTCCACCGTCTCTCTCTCCATCCTTGTGGTGATTGAGATGCTGAACGCCATGAACGCCCTGTCCTCGAGCGAGTCTCTTCTGACTTTCTTCCTGGGCAACAACCCCATGCTTATTTACGCCATCACTCTCTCCATGGGTCTCCACTTTGCCATTCTCTACATTCCCTTCCTGCAGAACCTGTTCAATATTCTGCCTTTGGACTGGAATGAGTGGCAGGCCGTGCTCGTCATCAGTGCCCCTGTGATGTAAGTCTTCTATCGTATCCTTCCACGCACGCGAAACTAATTTCTCTAGTCTGATTGACGAAGTCTTGAAGCTCATTGAGCGTCGTCTTTACAACACCAAGGCCGTCAACCCGGCCCAGAACGGCTCCGCCGGCAAGCCCAAGCGGGCTTAGAGGTCCAGCAAAAGCTTAAATGTGCCACTTACCCCCGCTATCGGGAGATGTGAATAGATAGATCGTGTCTGAGGTCATGATGTGAGTGGCCTATGACATGCCATCATGCCCATAGATGAATGAACTTTGATGCGATTGGCTCCAGCGTAACGCGCTTACCTGCAGTAGGCATTTCACTAGTTAGGAACTTAGAAAGCTTTCTCGCGGAGTTTCGCCGCCTTGCCTCGGCAATGTCTTGCCTCTTGAGTCTATGCGCGTCTAGTCTTGCGCAATGTAGAGTAACACCCCTGGTATGGCCCTCGAGTGGAAAGTCTGGCCGACTGATGACATGACGATCGTCGTTGATTCCCAGCCACAGGAATCCGGGGATAAATAGATGCCCATGGTTGGCTATGTGCATTCGGGTACTGCGGTATATGTCTGTGGCCGATTCGTCTCACATACATTCCTGAGCCTTACTGTACATGCAAGAGCACGTGCAGATTTCGGGATGGCGACCAGGGTGTAATCTCGGAAACTTGAGATTGGCTTCATGCAAGGCAATCTCAAATGTCAAGAGCATAGCCCTGGAGCCCACGATACGACAACCGGAATGGCATCCCGTTCGAATATAGGCTGAAAGCCATGCAACCCTGACGCCACTCCCTGGCTGCCGTGTCTCGAGTCCAAAGGTCTCAGCCAAACCGAGTTCGGAGTAACCCCGCGGCTGTGTGATTGGACGTTATCATTGCTTCCCCAGGGATCACCCGCTGGCTTTCCCCGGACTGGGGCAAAGTGTGGAGTTTGCGGAGACATTCCAATGTTACCTTGTTTTGTTTCTTATTTATACTGGTCAACCCCCTCTATGTTGGCCATCAAGGCCACCATGGGTGTCAAAGAGTTCTTCAAAAGCCGGTCAGGCTTAAGAGTTGATAATCGCAAAACCACTTCTGCTGCGACCTTAACGCTGCGACAAAGTCTGTGGCCTTTGACTTTAGTCACTATATTGTTCTTCTTATGGGTATGCTGTGTTCCCGCCCTGACGAATATTCACTAACCCCGCTCAGGGCTTTGCCTACGGTCTTCTGGATACTCTGAACAAGCACTTCCAGAATACCCTACACATCGACCGAGCCCGCTCATCCGGCCTCCAGGCCGCATATTTCGGGTATGTTGTGAAACCCGAGCAAATAGCAAACAAAAAAAAAAAGAAAAGAAAAAACAGCCCTGACAAAAGTAGAGCATATCCGCTTGCCTCGCTGGGCTATGCAAATTGGATCCTGCGTCACTATGGCTACAAGACCGTGTTTATTTTCGGTCTTGTGCTATATGGAATTGGTGCCCTGTGTATGTGGCCAGCAGGACTAAACCGCTCTTTTGGTGGCTTCTGTGGTGCTACCTTTGTCATTGGCTCCGGGTTGGGGTCACTTGAAACTGCTGCTAATCCCTATTTAACCGGTATGATAGTACTCCGTATCCACTTATGCACGGCTTAGCTGACGACGGTAGTTTGTGGTCCGCCGCGGTATTCCGAGATTCGAATCAATTTCGCTCAGGCATTTAATGCCATCGGCACAGTGGTGGGACCTGTGCTTGGTTCGTATGCCTTCTTCACCGAGACGGCTGATGATGTCTCTGCTCTGCAGAGTGTCCAATGGGTATATCTGGCGATTGGGATTTTTGTCTTCTGTCTCGCAGCTGTGTTTTACATCTCCAATATCCCCGAGGTGACAGATGAGGACATGGCATTCCAGGTTGCACAGACGCATGTCAATGAGCAGGACCAGCCCTTTTGGAAACAATACAAGCTGTTCCACGCCACGCTGGCTCAATTTACATACACTGGGGCTCAGGGTACGTTGCTATTTTTTTTTTTGTTCTGATGCCATTGACAGTCCTTGCTAACTGGCGCAGTCGCTATCGCGGGTTACTTCATCAACTACGCCACGGAGACATGGCCTGGTACAAGCAGTGCCACAGGGGCAAAGTACCTTGCTGGTGCACAGGGTGCCTTTGCAGTAGGACGATTCCTCGGCTCGGGGATTATGAAGTACGTCAAGGCTCGCTGGGTTTTCCTTGTGTACCTGTCGTGCACGGTGGCGTTCCTCGCTGCGTCAGTGACACAGACGAAGCAGACCGGTATTGCCATGCTATTCTTGACATTGTTCTTTGAATCAGTCTGTTTTCCCACGATTATGGCTCTGGGTATCCGTGGCCTGGGGCGTCATTACAAGCGCGGGTCGGGCTTCATCGTCGGTGGTGTTTGTGGGGGTGCCGTTGTGCCGCCGATTCTGGGACATGTTGCTGACATGCGTGATAATACTGGTTTCGCGTTTATAGTGCCCACTATGGTAGGTGGTTTCGCGGTTCTTGTTCGGTCCATTGACTAATCTGACTCTAGTTCATGGTCATTGCTTGGACTTATGCTATCGCTGTGAACTTCGTCCCGGCGTATACGATTACGGTGGACAAGGTTGGCGAAAGCACTGTTGGAATCGAGCCTAGCCCTAAGGACGAGGAGGCCATGACCAGTGCTGATCCAACTAAGAAGAATTCGACCGTACACGTGGAGTAAGCAGGATGAGGTTCTCTAGCTGTTTTTGAGGCTTGATTTTTGTTTGATGTGGTAATGGATTTCCATTCGAGGTTTTGTTGTACTGGCTAGGTTAATGATCTAAACTGCTGCAATGATGATTAAATGACTTACGTTTTATAATCCAGTCTGGACGACATGTGCTATAGTCCCTGATTAACTCTGCGGTAGGCAAAACATAACCTTGAGGCTTCCCCCATGGGGTGTGAAAGTAATTCCAACAATATATGGAAATTATGTACTTTTCAATGGTAAAAAGCCCCCAGCAGGACAAATGGGTGAGAAGACGGTCAAAGTATAGAACTATTAATAGTGCAATTTCATTATGCAAGTGTTCTGTTGCGAATAATATGATGGAATGGTGATATAGGGGAGGTATGCGTAGGGCAAAAGGCGTAGACGCGAAAGGAAAAAAAAATCATGAGAAGGAAAGATTGACAGGGTAGCAGCACTCGACAGGCCGAGGCAGAGCGCAAAAAATTATGAAGCAAGCAGACAGGAGGAAAGAAAACGCAAAGAGCACGCTGTGTAAGTGTGGGGGTATAAGGGTTCTATCGTCTAATGTGAGAGATCGTGGAGGCAAAACAAATCTAATGCAAAAGCGAGGCTGGGGGTATCAACCAGATTTATCTGGAGAGCGCAGAGAAGACGAGCGAGGGGGCCGAAGGGGGCTGGTTTCGAGGTTAGGAACGGGGGCAAAAGGTGTTCGGCTGGGAGAATCCAGTTCGACCGAGACTTTCGGAGTGGTCTCTGTTCTGTTGTCTTGGATCACCATGTCGCCGGGTGTACCGGGGGTGCCAGGGTCGTCGAACTCGTCGACTTCATCGAGGTCTTCTTCTATACCATTATCGTCTTCTTCCTCTTCGATGATCTGGCTTTTGCGTGCAGCTGGTCGCCCGACGGACAGGTCTGAGTCGCTGGGATTCACTGATTGACCAGGGATTGGAGAGCTGGCCGTACCGTTAGACATCATCAAATTACTCGTGTGCAGCATAGGACCCTTGAAGGCAGATCTCTTTCGGCGCGCAAACACCAGGCTTGAGGATGGCGAGTACAGTAATGGCGCTGGCGCTGCTTCATTAAAGGACGTCGACATTGAGCCTGTCCGGTCAAGTACTTCGCGAGGTGTTCCACCCGGTCCTCGAACCAACCGTATATTGCTGGGGAACCGGGCAGAGGACCCAGGCGTGGTTGGTAGGACCTTGATAGAGGAATGAGGCGACCTGGACGATCTCGCGGTAGGTGTTGAGATGGTATCCACACTGTTAGAAGAAATCGAGGATGCTTTGGAGTGAGCACGAGTGTGGTGAATGCTGCGAATCGAGGATACTGAGGAGGATGTAGATTTGCGTCCTCGTAGTCCGGCTGATGAGCGCCTATAGGATCCGCGTGGAGTGATAGGCGACGGGGAGAGCGAATTGCGATGACTGGCATGGCCTGTGTTCAGTGCCCTTGGTTGGCGGGGGTAAGAGTGGCGATTCTGGCGATAGGAAGCACTGCTCGGCGCAAGGCTGCTTGCAGTCGAGAACCGATTGGTCTGAGTTGGTGTTTGAACATCCTCACCTGCGACCTCGCTTGCTGGCGACGACACAGTTGCGGCTTTCTTTCCGTTCTCCTGACTCTTTGCCGGGCTTAGCTTATCCGAAAGAAACTTGCGTGAGCCTGTGGGCTTGGCATGGGGAGAACGTGCCCTCTTCGCCGATTCGACGAACCAGTGCTTGAGCGATGCTAGCTGGCTGAGTATCGGATAATTGTGACGACGACTCGTGCGACGTCGGAAAATCCCATTATGCTGTGTCAGCTCAGGCTGCGATGCGCTCACATGCAGCATGCTGGGCCGCGATCGCCGCCTGTCTTTTGGTGGAGGAATTGGACGGCGTCGCGACGAGCCGTGAGATCGAATGGAATCTCTGTCGACCGGCAATGGGGGTGTAGTCGCTTCAATCGGGAAAACGGGTAGCGGTTCGGGGAGCGCAGGAAGTTCCGGCACTGCCAATTGAGAAGGTAAGCTTCTTCTGTCCCGTCTTCCACGGTTGCGTAGTTCTGAGCTCTGACCTTCCTCCTCTACCTCCATAAGAGCGGATGACCGCTTCTCCAAACGACTGCTTGCGGCACTCAATCGGCGCAGATTCTTTGCCTCGACCTCTCGCTCGCGGCGCTTCCGCTCTCTCTTTTGTTCCTTTCGCTGCTCCTTTTCGATCAGTAGAGCCCACCAGCCAGCCAGCGGGTCGCATCGCTGAGCCAATACGTTCTCAATGACCTCGTCAATATTGACACCTGCACTCTTCATCCGCTGAAGAGTGGTCTTCTCCAATGGCGTTGTGAATGGCGAGGGTCTTGGGATTTTTAGAATCGCAAGCTGTTCAGGAGCATGTTCCGAGAGAAAAGGATGCGCCAGGATTTCATCTAAGCTCGGCCTAATCAACGGTCGTTTAGACAGCAGCAGATTTATCAACGCCTTGGCATCGTCCGTAAATTTGTCGTTGAATGTCGGCTCTTCTGACAGAATGCGCCGTTTGGTGACTTGGTCATCGTCATCATCGTATGGCAGTTCGCCAGCCAGAAGCGCATAGAGAATAATGCCCAGACTCCACACATCCACTTTTTCACCGGCATATTTCTCCCCTTTTAACATCTCCGGTGCACTATAGCATATCGTCCCACAAAATGTCTGGAGGTAGCTCGCCTTCCCTTCATATTCGCGCGTGAAGCCAAAGTCGCAGAGCTTGACGTTCTCCTGCTTATCTAGCAGGATATTTTCCAGTTTCAAGTCGCGATGCACGCACGATTTGCTGTGCACGTAGGCGACTGCTCCAACCAATTGTGTAAATATCCGTTTCACTTTCTCAACCGGTAACGGGCCGTGGCGGAGGAGGTAATTGTACAGTTCGTCGCCTAAAAAGACCGTCAATGGAGTTCTGCTATGTTTCTGCGTGGCACCCACCAGGACAGTACTCCAGCACCAGCCAGACCAGACTTTCGGTCACCACCACCTCGTATAGTCGTGCGATATGGGGGTGTAGGAATTGGCGATGGTGGTGGATTTCGCGCACCAGGTTGGTATCCTCCTTGCTAGACGACTTGAGCACCACCTGTCGAGTATCAGCACTGTTCCAACCTTCATGTTTCCGCACCGTACCTTCGAGCCATTGGTGAGTTTGTGCGACGCGAGGTAGACCTTGCCAAAGGAGCCTTTTCCAATGAGTCTTCCTAGCGAATAATTGCCGACACTCCGGAGGTCTTTGGACGAGAACTCTCTGCAGCAACATGTTAGCGCAACGAGGACGTCGGAGCCCAGGGGACAGGGACATACTCAAGGAGTTCATTGTAGGAGCTGGCAAGCTGCAGGGGCTGTGTTAGCCCACTCGGAGGTCTCTATATGCAGAGTGTCTGTATTTCTCACCTTTTCTTTCTGCTTCTGGCTTTGAACCCCCGCTCTCGTTCGGGGCGGCATGTGTGATCGGTCGCCAGGGTTCGCGGAAGCCTCTGCGCGTCAAGGGTCGAGGTGTGATTGGAGCGGGTGCCATTCAACGGGGGCACTAGAGGGACGGGATTGACGCAGAGTATTAAGGTATAGGGAGGTTGTCGCGGGTAGGGTAAGAAATGGAAAAGAAGTGAAGTCGCATACAAAGTTCCTAAGACGTCAACGGGAACGTGGACCGTGTGGAGAAACGGCTCTCCTTTTCTTCTATTTTTACTCAGACGACTTCTCTACGTACTTCTTCTACGCCTAGACTATAGACTAAGATTTCATTTATATTGCCCGAGCCCCTGGATGTTCGCATTGTGTTTTTATTAATTTTTTTCTTCAGAGAAAAAAATATAATATTTTCTCTTCTTTTTCTCTTCCTTTGCTGATCAGTTTGAATCAAGGAAGATCGTCACATCCTCACCTCATGCTCTTCAAGCCCTCTGCATAAGTCCAGGTTGCTTTACATTCGCTCTCTTTGTCTCGACGAATCCCTTACTTTACAATGTACACTGTACATTGTACTGCGCCCAACTAATTTAATCGGCTGCACCCATTGGCTGATGTCTGCGAACAACGGCCAATGAGAGAAACGGCTGAAACCACTGTCATCATATATGCATGGGGTATATATTCTTCACTGCCAAGGCAGCGACTTAAGATGTCGCACTGTTCGTTCAGTGGTGCCCATCGTGGGATCAACAGCGTTAAGTCCCGCCTCACCCTGGAAAGCCAAGGAGACCATCCCAAAGTAAGAGTGGAGCAGGTCTAAGTAGGTCAGTGATGTTGTAGAGTACTGGCACAGGATGCATCTTACCAGGAGGATCCCCAGGACCTTTGCCAAATCCACCCACAAGATGTTGCGTTTTCTCAAGCAGGTAGCGACGATTGCGAACCCCGTCGACCACGCCGTACTGATCCAGCATCTGATTCGGTGTTAGTAGCTCATAACGACCACGCGGAGATTCACCTACCACCAGCGTCGCCCCGTTCCAGAACGAATAGCAGGTGTCTGCATATTTATTGCATCGGCCATTAAACCCAGCGCATCTTATTGTGTCCGCGTCGAGCGGGAGCGGTGCAGTATCAGGCAATCCGTTAATTTGATCAGCGAGAGGATCCTCCAAACTCCGAGGCAGTTCATCCTCTTCGTCCTCGTCATCAGGCTCTTCAATCTCGGCTGTTTGTCTGGAAGCCAACCATGTAGTTAGCGCCTCGAACTGCGACGAGCCAGCTGACAGAAGCGGCACTGGTTTTAAGTCTTTAGAGGACCTGCGCAGAAAGTCTAGAGCACCAATCGCGCAATAAGTATGCCCGCCTATCGGGCGTTAGGAGATTCAGTAAGGGGGGGGGGGGGGGGGGGGGGGGCAGCTATTATAACCGCTAAAAAAATCACAAGCTTCCCATCCCCCAGACCAAGGCTTGTCTTTGT